CAGAATGTAACATTATTGACAGACCTGTAAGTGTAAACAGTTGTTGTAAGGTGGTCGTAAACCTTCAACACTTACAGGGAAAAGATCTAGTGGAACGTAAAATTTCATTTATCTACAGGGTTACGTAGGATTGTTTGCCTTTAGATTTTAATCAGCCTCTAACCGGCGGGAAAAAGTAAAAGACAAAACGGGAGATCGAAGAAACAGTTACACAACAACAATATACTGTAAAAAAAAGACAGAAAAACAACACTGTTTTCCCGGAATTAATTCAAAAATCTTATTAAACAATTGAAATAGTGATTCTTTTCTATTGGAATATGTTAGTTTTATTGATAGGTGAAATGAAAGTTGTTTCATTCTCTTTACGATTCGTTCTTCTCATAACCTTTGATAATTTTGGGTGGCATGTCCATCACAAGAGAAAAGGGATCGACTGAGTAGAATATTAATTCGAACTACTTAACAGTGCTGGTCTAGTCAAAATCATCTACTGGTCCTATAGAAAAAAATTTCCATCACCACGTAGTTCAAAGTAAACAAAAACATAAACGTTGCAGAACAAGGTCGCCAATAGTAACGAAAACAAGCTTTAATGGTTATACAAAAGTGTATTACTTAACAAGAACAAATTATACCTCATTGAGGAGAGAACAATCAAGTGACATCAGTATTAATTGAGAAAAAAGGAATAAGGTGCTTTCCTCAGTTCCCAATCATTTAAGTGGTAGAAAAAAATTAGATACAGAACAGGCCATGAGCGGATCATCGATCGCGTGGTTATATTCCGCCGATTTTTTTCAGCTTACTGGAAAATATGACCAATCATGCTGAGCGCATTTGACAATTGACTCAACTTTGAAACACTTTGTAGAAATACCTCGCAAAACAAGATAAACACGTCGAGTTTCAATATTTTCGCAATAGGCGGCTGCCGATGGTGTAATCGGCGGCTATGCTTCGAAAAGGACCGTAAGGAGATACCCACAGACGAGCGCCTGTTCTTAGGCTAAACGGACGGCGATTAGTTAGACTCCCAGTCGCACGCTTAAATTAGAACCCCTAAAGATGGGTAGATAAGTCCCCTAATATCTCTAGTTATCATTTAAGTACACATCCTAATTGGATTGTTTTGCATGATCTGTCGGTGTGATTTGTTGGGGGTCAATTATAAGAGGAAAAGAGTTTTCAAATTGATAGTAATTTTCGAGGTGAAAAGTTTTAGAAGGGGGGGAAAGGTAGCAAAATTGAACAAACAATGTTTCGGTTGGACGTTCATTGTAACCAGAACAAAATTACAAAATTTCAATTGATAGATTGAAAATTACTTTGACTTGGCAGTCAATACAAATTAACCATCCACGTTGCATTCTAACGAAGTCTTTTGACAGGAATAACGTTCCTTATAACGTGTTCAAATTTATCAACGATAAAAAACGATAAACTTGGGAAAGCAGACGCCATTTTAAATGAAAAAGAGAACGACAGAGCATTGAAATGTTGTTTACAGATATTTATCTCACCTCAACTTAAATCATTTGCAATCGGTAATGAAAACGTTACATCCTGGCACATGACCGTTGACCACAGATCGCCAGATTGATAACGAACGCTACGATTTAGGTGTCTTATGTTTTGTGTACCCAATATGGCGACAACAACGGTCCCTGCTCCAAGTAAATTTTGAACAGAAAGTATGCATTTTCTCAATTTTGCTATCAATAAACATTTCCTAAGGTGCTGACAAGGAGAATAAGTTTCACAATCCGGCAGTAGATTTTTTCTTTGTTTTTCATTTTCTTTATTCTTTTGACCTTAATGTATGGTTCAAAAGTGATGTTATGGGGAAAAGTCAGATGCTAGTCGTTCCTAGGAGTCAAACGGTGAAAACCTAATGATAAAAAAGAGTACGATGTGGAACGGCAAGGGTGTAAGCAGTTATATTGTTGTCCCTCACTGCTGAAATCATTAACATCAATTCGCATGGGTTCATTGAAAATTACTTGACACCAGAAAAAATGTAGGCAATAATATCAGGTGGAAAAGTTGTAATGAATTAAAACATGCCAAAACAATTAAAACACGCCTGCAGTATTTTGAACGTTTATTGTCACGAGTACAAGGATAGGCGAGGTTTCAGAAATTTATCATAAAAAGCAAATCATAAGCTTCAATAGGTTTAACTTAAACTAGATCAAGAAATCGGTGCCTTAAAAATTCTATCTCTGATGCTTTTTGAATACAACAATTAAGAAAAGATCCCAAATGAGATGTACATCTGGTTCCAGTAGAAATTAACCTTGAACGTTGCACTCTGATGGTATAACTAAATACTTCCTTATCTTTGTTTGAGCTACTTGGTAGAAATCATTCCAGCTTACCACAGGTGTACCCTGAACTTCCTGGCAAGATCTCGCGTTGTCGAGCAATTCTCTATCTGAGAGGACTCTGTCCCAAAGAGTATACCCAGTCAGACGTACCTCGTCCCCGCTCTCTCTCTCGCTATGTCCCAAAGACAGTTTCTTTGGTTTTCCCCGTAACTTAGTTTCTCCTCCATCGCATTCCGAGCCAACCGGAATCGAGGTGCCATCTTTAAAGAGATTAATGGTACCTGGGTTTCCATTCCAGGTTACACAGACTTGATGCCAATGATGATCGTCAAGCCCCTCAACTTCTCTCGAAAAGCTGTTTTCAAAATGATGATATTTAAAAGATTAGGTTTCTCTAACTTCGTTGACTGGAGTTTGAAAGAAACGGGTCTTACAAAAGTATTTGTATTGGGGCTAAAAAGTTATTTATATACGCTTACCAGAATTTAAAAGTCTTTATGTGCATGTAAGTGTAAAAGCGCATTCCGCGATATCCTCCGCCGGTTAATTTGAGGTAAAAAACGTCGCCATAATTTGTTCGGAATTCTACCATGTTTATGTCTTTGGTGTCCCTTTTGAACTCCTCTGATTGAAGCTTCAGCCACATGCACATAGTAAACTGTGTCATATCATCAGGGGCATTGGTTGGATTTATCATCAGTTGTTTCTCTTTGATACCGCCATAAAAAATCCGGACGTCAAAAGATGGGGGGGCTGAGGAAGCTGGGAATAACACAGAAAACGAGGGTTGTCGCTATAGAAACGGATGCATAACTCGTTTGTAATCACCGTGTGCTCATCGAGCAAAGCAATGCGTTTGCAGATAGAAACAGTTTGTGGAGTTATCAACATCATGGGCGTTGCCCATATGAACTATGACCATTGTCAGAAGAGCTCTTGCTCTCTCTACATCATACTATAACACCATTTTTCTACAAGGAAGGCGTGTATTTTACTGGATGGGAATGGGACTGGCGAAAGCTTAGTTAAGGTTTCACGTCATAATTATGTTGTAGTTTTATACTTTCTCAAAAGACAACTAATTTTGAGTTTGCAGTTTCCTGAAATGCTCACTACTAACAGCACTCTTTTGTACCCAAATGTAGCACGAACATTGTATCTAAGGCGAAAAAAGCATAACTGGGGCTAAGTTCTAAAAACTCGTTCTGAGTGCTTTTTTTGTCTGGTTACAAGACTCAATCATTTTAAACGAGAAACTGTTTCGACCCAGTTGAGACCATAAAATCGAAAGGACTCGTACGAAGTTCTCCTTTAGAAATTAAAAAAAAAAATTATGAACCGAATTTGATTTGATTTGAGACATTTAACAACAATGATATAAGTAAATAATAGTTTTAAATATGTAATAAGTAGAACGTACGGCACGGTTGTGTATTGCACTCCTGTGTCTTCCTGGCCGCCCCAAGGTGTTTACAGTCCTTCCCACCCCTGGCTGGCGGGGGATTGTTGCAGGTCCTGGCAAGAGTCTTGATTCCTCCACCACATGTGACACTGCACTGAGAAACTGCTGACCAGCCAGTGTAGCCCCCATCAATAGCTGCAAGTAAAATAGTTATCAATCTTATTAGTCCTAGGAGCCTTCTTGCCCATTACAACACATATTAGCCCATTTTCTGTTACGTTGAAGAAAAAAAGCTAGGAAGGGTCCTTGTGACCAGTACTTATTGATACTCCCATATGGGAGCTGCTCTGAGTGTAAAGTGTCCTACCAGTAAATTGGTAACGTCCATGTAGTCTTGTTGAGTGGGAGTATCCATTATTTTTTAAGTGCTAAGAACTTTTAGTCAAAGCCAAATTTATGTGTTTAAATAGAGATATTTACCTCCAGAAACTACACACTGAGACAACTCTCTTATAAAATTCCTTCTCAGTGACTTCTTGTAGAACTCCCTCCACTTCACAGTGGGACCACCCATGCCTCCGTCACAGGTATTAGCTTCCTCAACAATCTCAGATTCAGTAAGTAATCTATTCCACAGATTAAAGCCTGTTATGCCAACATTTTCTGTTCTTCCTCCTCCTCCAATTTGAAGCGCCCCTCCAGCGTTCCTTGTGCCGACAGAACAGGGTTGAAATTTGACTTCAGCTCCGTCCCTGTAGTAACTTGTGTATCCTGAATCTGCGGCGCCGTCCCATAAGATGCAGATATGATGCCATTGGTCATCCATCAGATTAGTAGCGTCGAAAGTACTAAGGAACAGAAAGTCAGATAGCTTATTTAATTACATTTTGTATCACGTGAGATGTTTGCAATCTTTGTAGGTCCATGATAATGTTATCCCCACGATTGTGCAAACCACACAATGCACCTGTACTATACAAACATGAATTTAGGCTTTGAAAACCACTCATGTAAATAGGCGTGCAAAATGTGATCAAGCATTGTAAAAAACAACACAGCACAGTTTTGTAACCTGTGACGTAGAGTTCTATCTGTAAAGTGTATGTCACTACTGGTGAATAGTGTTAGCAATTTGATAACTACCCCATCAGTATATCCCGTGAAGTTTGAAACTTTGCATCTATCATCTGAAATCATCTGTCACCGCTATTGTGCATTCTGTAATTAAGCGTTGTCCAGCCTGATAACGATATCAGCTTATGTATCACTTACCACGGCTGTGCCTCAGTTCCAATTCCAAAGATAAGACTTTTGGTGTCGTCGAGGCCTAGAAAGAAGCTGTTTGTTTTTAACGTATTCGGAGCATCCACGTCATAGGAGACAAGGTACATTCTTTTGTTTGAACTGCTGCTCCATCCTGCTCCAATCTTAAGCCACAAACAGATGGTCATTTCTGATAAGTCTGGAATGTCCTCCACAGAAAATGAGTTTAGGGTCAATGTTGGCTTAATCAAGATATCAAAAAGCTCCCTTGCTAAAATATAGAAACAAAATGATATTGATCAGGTGTTACTGTCCGAAAAGATTAAAATATAAATTGATTGGCACAAAAAATATCAAATCCTTTTATGAACAATGAAACATAGCTTTTCTAAAGATGATTGCACAAGAACATGAAAGTCAAGCTCACAGCGTGCCTGACGGGTTGTACACTGCACCGTTCAGTGAATTGCATAGTGAAGCGGTGTATTTGTTGACACTTGGCTGTCAATGTTGACATTAGAAGAACTAGTGCCAAGCACGCGATAAAATGAGGGTGGCAATAATTCCTAAGCAATACCGCTAGCTCTGAAAGTAAAGTTGGAAGGAATCACTTTATTTCCTCCTATGCATTTCATCATTTTACCCCGAGAAAATGCTGGGTAATCTGTATCTGATCTAACACTCAAAACAAATGTAGACGAGTGTTGGTCAATTTATGTTGGAAGTAAGTAAAGTATAGGGTAAATTGATGATGTACGGAGTAAGACATAATTCGTCTACTTACTAAAGTGAAGAAATAAGCAAAGTGTTGTACTCACGTGTTCGATCGCACGTATTTCTTCTCAAGTATGGAACACTACTAACAATTAGTAGATTTTCGTACGAACTGAAAGCTAGAAAAAATGATAAACTGAATGCTTGTTTACCCAGAAACTCTCGTTTTTTTCATTCGAAAAAGTAAGTTACATTTTATGTGAGCTGAAAATCATTTAACGTTACTCTAGAAAGAAAATATTACTGTTTACTATATTCTAACTCTGACGATATTATTATACTACAACAAACTTATGAAGCGAGCCTAAGTATAAGACAATTTCAAAGATCACAAAAGCCCTCACTTAAATAATAATCGTGTTTTGAACATTTATGGACTTGGCCGCATTTGTTCATGTTCATTTCATTCATTATATTGATTATTCTCTTTCTGTCACCTCTGTCCTGCGAAAGATACTCTGCTAGGGCCGACTTTGCCTTTCATTATTCCGTTATGAAACGCTCGCACTCGAGGCGATAACAAAAGATAAGAGAAAGCTGTTGGAGTAAGAACACGGTACTAAAATAAAATAATCACACTTACATGCCGGATCTGGAAGGACTAGAAAAAGTACGATGACCAGGTAGAGATCTCCCATTGTTCTGTGAGAGAAATAAACAAAAAATGACAATCTGGCTTCTTACCTTCGAACCTTCGAACTTCGTCGTAAGCTAAGAGGGAGGTGCCCACCAAAAAGGTAACGTGAACATGAACAAATGCGGCCAAGTCCATAACTGTTCAAAACACGATTATTATTTAAGTGAGGGCTTTTGTGATCTTTGAAATTGTCTTATACTTAGGCTCGCTTCATAAGTTTGTTGTAGTAAACAATCATGGCAAGTTTTGTTCGAGCCCAATTTGTAGTTTTCTTTTCAACGGTTGCCTCTGCCCTAAATGAAGAAAAAAGTCTTAAAACTGGTCCAAAAAATTGTGCCAATTTTCGAACAATGCCTTTTTTCAAGGCTTGACAGCATTTTGGCTCTTCACATTCCTTCGCTAAATTATCTTTTGCTTGATGAGGCGAACTTACCTAACGTTTTGGCATAACACTGACTGTAAAATAAGCAGGCCTTTGGTGAATTTATGAGTTATTTATCACAGAATGTAACATTATTGACAGACCTGTAAATGTAAACAGTCGTTGTAAGGTGGTCGTAAACCTTCAACACTTACAGGGAAAAGATCTAGTGAAGCGTAAAATTTCATTTATCAACAGGGTTACCTAGGATTGTTTACCTTTAGATTTTAATCAGCCTCTAACCGGCGGGAAAAAGTTAAAGACAAAAAGGGAGATCGAAGAAACAGTTACACAACAACAATATACTGTCAAAAAAAGACAGAAAAACAACACTGTTTTCCCGGAATTAATTCAAAAATCTTATTAAACAATTGAAATAGTGATTCTTTTCTATTGGAATATGTTAGTTTTATTGATAGGTGAAATGAAAGTTGTTTCATTCTCTTTACGATTCGTTCTTCTCATAACCTTTGATAATTTTGAGTGGCATGTCCATCACAAGAGAAAAGGGATCGACTGAGTAGAATATTAATTCGAACTACTTAACAGTGCTAGACTAGTCAAAATCATTTACTGGTCCTATAGGAAAAAAATTTCCTTCATCACGTAGTTCAAAGTAAACAAAAACATAAACGTTGCAGAGCAAAGTCGCCAATAGTAACGAAAACAAGCTTTAATGGTTATACAAAAGTGTATTACTTAACAAGAACAAATTATACCTCATTGAGGAGAGAACAATCAAGTGACATCAGCATTAATTGAGAAAAAAGGAATAAGGTGCTTTCCTCAGTTCCCAATCATTTAAGTGGTAGAAAAAAATTAGATACATAACAGGCCATGAGCGGATCATCGATCGCGTGGTTATATTCCGCCGATTTTTTCCAGCTCACTGGACAATATGACCAATCATGCTGAGCGCATTTGACAATTGACTCAACTTTGAAACACTTTGTAGAAATACCTCGCAAAACAAGATAGACACGTCGAGTTTCAATAACTTCGCAATAGGCGGTTGCCGATGGTGTAATCGGCGGTTATGCTTCGAAAAGGACCGTAAGGAGATACCCACAGACGAGCGCCTGTTCTTAGGCTAAACGGACGGCGATTAGTTAGACTCCCAGTCACACGCTGAAATTAAAACCCATAGAGATGGGTAGGTAAGTCCCCTAATCTCTCTAGTTACCATTTAAGTACACATCCCAATTGGATTGTTTTGCATGAACTGTCGGTGTGATTCGTTTGGGTTCATCATACGAGGAATAGAGTTTTCAAATTGATAATAATTTTCGAGGTGAAATGTTTTAGAGGGGGGGGGGGGGGGGAAAGGTAGCAAAATGGAACAAACAATGTTTCGGTTGGACGTTCATTGTAATCAGAACAAAATTTCAATTGATAGATTGAAAATTACTTTGACCTGGCAGTCAATACAAATTAACCATCCACGTTGCATTCTAACGAAGTCTTTTGACAGGAATAACGTTCCTTATAACGTGTTCAAATTTATCAACGATAAAAAACGATAAACTTGGGAAAGCAGACGCCATTTTATATGAGAAAGAGAACGACAGAGCATTGAAATGTTGTTTACAGATATTTATCTCACCTCAGCTTTAAATCATTTGCAATCGGTAATGAAAACGTTACATCCTGGCACATGACCGTTGACCACAGATCGCCAGATTGATAACGAACGCAACGATTTAGGTGTGTTATGTTTTGTGTCCCAATATGATGGCGACCACAACGGTCCCTGCTCCAAGTAAACTTTGAACAGAAAGCTTACAAGAAAATAAAACTTTAAACGTAATGACCTGACCCAAACTGGAGTCTTTACGGTATGCATATTCTCAATTATGCTATCAATAAACATTTCTTAAGGTGCTGACAAGGAGAATAAGTTTCACCATCCGGCAGTAGCTTTTTTCTTTGATTATCATTTTCTTTATTCTTTTGAACTTAATGTATGGTTCAAAAGTGACGTTATAGGGAAAAGTCAGATGCTAGTTACTCCTAGGAGTCAAACGGTGAAAACCTAATGATAAAAAAGAGTACGATGTGGAACGGCAAGGGTTTAAAGCAGTTATATTGTTGTCCCTCACTGCTGAAATCATTAACATCAATTCGCATGGGTTCATTGAAAAGTACTTGACACCAGAAAAACTTTTGGCAATCGATAGACAAAGTATCAGGGGGAAAAGTTGTAATAAATTAAAACATGCCAAAACAATTCAAACACGCCTGTAGTATTTTGAACGTTTATTGTCACGAGTACAAGGATAGGCGAGGTTTCAGAAAGTTATCATAACAAGCAAATTATAAACTTCGATAGGTTTAACTTAAACTAGATCAAAAAATAGGTGCCTTAAAAATTCTATCTCTGATGCTTTTTGAATACAACAATTAAGAAAAGATCCCAAATGAGCGGATGTACTTCTGGTTTCAGTAGAAATTAACCTTGAACGTTGCACTCTGATGGTATAACTAAATACTTCCTTATCTTTGTTTGAGCTACTTGGTAGAAGTCATTCCAGCTTACCACAGGTGTACCCTGAACTTTCTGGCAAGATCTCGCGTTGTCGAGCAATTCTTTATCTGAGAGGACTCTGTCCCAAAGAGTATACCCAGTCAGACGTACCTCGTCCCCGCTCTCTCTCTTGCTATGTCCCAAAGACAGTTTCTTTGGTTTTCCCCGTAACTTAATTTCTCCTCCATCACATTCCGAGCGAACCGGGATCGAGGTGCCATCTTTAAAGAGATTAATGGTACCTGGGTTTCCATTCCAGGTTACACAGACTTGATGCCAATGATGATCGTCAAGCCCCTCAACTTTTTTTGAAAAGCTGTTTTCAAAATGATGATATTTAAAAGGTTTGATTTCTCTAACTTCGTTGACTAGAATTTGAAAGAAATGGGTCTTACAATAGTATTTGTATTGGGGCTAAAAAGTTATTTATATACGCTTACCAGAATTTATAAGTCTTGATGTGCATGTAAGTGTAAAAGCGCATTCCGCCATATCCTCCGTCGGTTAATATGAGGTTAAAAGCGTCGCCATAATTTGTTCGGAATTCTACCATGTTTATGTTTTTGGTGTCCCATTTAAACTCCTCTGATTGAAGCTTCAGCCACATGCACATAGTAAACTGTGTCATATCATCAGGGACATTAGTTGGATTTATCATCAGTTGGTTTGCCTTGATACCGCCATAAAAAATCCGGACGTCAAAAAATGAGGGGGCTAAGGAAGCTGGGAATGAAACAGAAAACAAGGGTTGTCGCAAGAGAAACGGATGCATAACTCATTCGTAATCACCGTGTGCTAATCGAGCAAAGCGATGCGTTTGCAGATAGAGAAACAGTTTGTGGAGTTATCATTATCAACATCATCTTTCTTATTTACTAGTCACTTATGACATGACACAATGCGCTGAACAGATCGGCGTTTCCCATATGAACTATGACCATTGTCAGAAGAGCTCTTGCTCTCTCTACATCATACTATAACACCATTTTTATACAAGGAAGGCGTGCATTTTACTGGATGGGAATGGGAGTGGCGAAAGCACGAACACTGTATCTAAGGCGAAAAAAGCATAACTGGGGCTAGGTTCTAAAAACTCGTTCTGAGTGTTTGTTTGTATGGTGACAAAATTTGGTAAAGACTCCATAATTTTGAGCGAAAAACTGTTTCGACCCAGTTAAGACCATAAAAGGGAAAGGACTCGCACGAAGTTCTCCTTTAGAAATTAAAAAAAATATATGAACCGAATTTGATTTGATTTGAGACATTAAACGACAATGATAAAAGGAAAAAATAGTTTTAAATCTATAATAATTCGAACGTACGGCACGGTTGTGTATTGCACTCTTGTGTATTCCTGGCTGCCCCAAGGTGTTTACAGTCCTTCCCACCCCTGGCTGGCGGGGGATTGTTGCAGGTCCTGGCAAGAGCCTTGATTCCTCCACCACATGTGACACTGCACTGAGAAACTGCTGACCAGCCAGTGTAGCCCCCATCAATAGCTGTAAGTAAAATAGTTATCAATCCTATTAGTCCAAGGAGCCTTCTTGCCCATTACTACAGATATTAGCCCATTTTCTGTAATGTTGAAGAAGGAAGCTAGTCAATCGGAAAGAAGAAGTGTCCTTGTGGCCATTACTTATTGATACTCCCAGATGGGAGCTGCTCTGAGTGTAAAGTGTCCTACGAAGTCTTGTTGAGTGGGAGTACCCATTATTTTTTAATTGCTAAGAACTTTTAGTCAAAGCTAAATTTATGTGTTTAAATGCGCTGAGATATTTACCTCCAGAAACTACACATTGAGACAACTCTCTTATAAAATTCCTTCTCAGTGACTTCTTGTAGAACTCCCTCCACTTCACAGTGGGACCACCCATGCCTCCGTCACAGGTATTAGCTTCCTCAACAATCTCTGATTCAGTGAGTATTCTATTCCACAGATTAAAGCCTGTTATGCCAACATTTTCTGTTCTTCCTCCTCCTCCAATTTGAAGCGCCCCTCCAGCGTTCCTTGTGCCGACAGAACAGGGTTGAAATTTGACTTCAGCTCCGTCCCTGTAGTAACTTGTGTATCCTGAATCTGCGGCGCCGTCCCATAAGATGCAGATATGATGCCATTGGTCATCCATCAGATTAGTAGCGTCGAAAGTACTAAGGAACAGAGAGTCAGATAACTTATTTAATTACATTTTGTATCACGTGAGATGTTTGCAATCCATGTAGGTCCCTAATAATGTTAGCCCCACGATGATGCAAACCACATAATGCATCTGTACTATACAAACATGAATGTTAGGCTTTGAAAACCACTCGTGCAAATAAGCGTGCTAAATGTGATTAAGCATTGGAAAAAACAACAGAGCACAGTTTTGTAACCTTTGGCTTAAAGTCCTATCTGTAAAGTGTATGTCACTACTGGTGAATAGTGTTAGCAATTTTATGACTATTCCCATCGGTATAACCCCGTGAAGTTTGAAACTTTGCATCTATCGTCTGAAATCATCTGTCACCGCTGTTGTGCATTCTGTAATTAAGCGTTGTCCAGCCTGATAACGATATCAGCTTATTTATTACTTACCACGGCTGTGCCTCAGTTCCAATTCCAAAGACTAGATGTTTGCTGTCGTCGAGGCCTAGAAAGAAGCTGTTTGTTTTTAACGTATTCGGAGCATCCACGTCATAGGAGACAAGGTACATTCTTTTGTTTGAACTGCTGCTCCATCCCGCTCCAATCTTAAGCCACAAACAGATGGTCATTTCTGATATGTCTGGAATGTCCTCCACAGAAAATGAGTTTATGGCCAATGTTGGCTTAATTAAGATATCAAAAAGCTCCCTCGCTAAAAAGATATAAAAACAAAATGATATTGATCAGGTGTTAGTGTCCGAAGGATTAAAATGTAAATTAGTACAAATCCTTTTATGAAAAATAAAGCACATTTTTTTCCAAAGATGATTGCACAAGAATACGAAAGTCATAAGTTCACTGCGTGCCTGGCGGGTTGTACACTGCACCGTTCAGTGAATTGCACAGTGAAGCGGTGTATTTGTCGACACTTGGCTATCCATGTTGACATTAGAAGAACTAGTGCCAAGCACGTAATAAAATGAGGGTGGCAATAATTTCTAAGCAATACCGCTAGCTCTGAAATAAAATTTGGAAGGAATCAACTTATTTCCTTCTATACATTTTATCATTTTATCCCGAAAAAATGCTGGGTAATCTATAACCAACATTCAAAACAAATGTTAGATGAATGTTGGTCAATTTATGTTGGAAGTAAGTAAAGTATAGGGTAAATTGATGATATACGGAGTAAGACATAATTCGTCTACTTACTAAAGTGAAGAAATAAGCAAAGTGTTTTACTCACGTGTTCGATCGCACGTATTTCTTCTCAAGTATGGAACACTACTAATAATTAGTAGATTTTCGTACGAACTGAAAGCTAGAAAAAATGATAAACTGAATGCTTGTTTACCCAGAAACTCTCGTTTTCTTTCATTCGAAAAGGTAAGTTACATTTTATGTGAGCTGAAAATCATTTAACGTCACTCTAGAAAGAAAGTAGTATTGGTTACTATATTCTAACTCTGAAGATATTTTATGGAGACCCAAGCTTTCAGAACTATTTTACTGTAAATAGGGCCTGTAGTTTAAGGGGAATACAAACCTTTACTAACACCAACTCTGACTAGAATGTACTCTTTCTGCTTTTCTTCGATAGAAATTAAACTCACTCTCATATGCCTAAAGTTAAACACTGCATCCCTGAGCTATATTGTTATCACATAGGAGAGAACAAAGTAACACATTAGCTGGGGGAGCACATTTCACTCCCTTCTCATTTGAGCAATTTGCTCGACCATTAGATCCCTTGAATACGTGGTAGGCAGTACTTCTCACTCTTTTTCTATTGTTAGAGGCGCGTATTCGGTAATTCTCTTTCTGGCACCTCTGTCCTGCGAAAGATACTCCGCTAGGGCCGACTTTGCCTTTCATTATTCCGTTATGAGACGCTCGCACTCGAGGCGATAAGAAAAGAGGAAGCTGTTGGAGTAAGAACACGGTACTGATATAAAATAATCACACTTACATGCCGGATCTGGAAGGACTAGAAAAAGTGCGATGACCAGGTAGAGATTTCCCATTGTTCTGTGAGAGAAATAAACAAAAAATGACAATCTGGCTTCTTACCTCGAACCTGGTCATAAGCTTTAGAGGGAGGTGTCCACCAAAAAGGTAACGTGAACATGAACAAATGCAGCTAAGTCCGTAAATGTTCAAATCAAAGATTATTATTTATATGAGGGCTTTTGTGATCTTTGAAACTGTCTTGTACTTTTGTCAATTTTAAAAAGTTATTACGAGTTGATTATTATTAGCGGTTCAATTGGCAATAACAAGTAAGGCTCGCTTCACAAGTTTGTTGTAGTAAACAATCATGGTAAGCTTTGTTCGAGCCCAATTTACAGTTTTCTTTTCAACGGTTGCCTCTGCCCTAATTGAAAAAAAGTGCCTTTAAACTGGCCAAAAATTTTTTTTCCAATTTTCGAACAGTGCCTTGTATCAGGGCTTGACAGCAGTTTGGTTCTTCACATTCGTTCGCTATATTACCTTTTGCTTGATGAAGCGAACTTACCCAGCGCTTTGGCTTAACACTGACTGTAAAATAAGCAAGCCTTTGGTGAATTCATGAGTTATTTATCACAGAATGTAACGTTATTTGACAGACCTGTAAATGTAAACAGTCTTCGTAAGGTGGTCTAAAACCTTCGACACTTACTAGGGTAAGATTTTGTGAAGCGAAAAATTTTATTTATCAGCAGGGTTATATGGGGTTTTTTTTGTCTCTAGATTTTAATTAACCTTTACCGGCGTCTTGCTAAAAGACAGAAAGGGAAATCGAAGAAACAGTCACACAACAACGATATATTGTCAAAAAAAGACAGAAAAACAACACTGTTTTCCTGGAATTGATTTACAAATCTCATTTAGACTTCTCAGTATCAGGAGAGGGAGCGACAGAGAGTTTTTTAAAACTGTATCAAAATAGAGTGATTCTTTTCTATTGGAATATGTTAGTTTTTTTATTAGGTGAAATGATAGCTGTTTCATTCTCTTTACGATTCGTTCTTCCCGTAACATTTGATGATTTTAGGTGGCATTTCCATCACCAGAGAGTGGGGATCGACAGTGTAGAATATTAATTCGAACTACTAAACAGACCACAAGGAGATCCGAGTGATCAAGATTAGTATTTGTTTAATTTTCCCACGTAAAGCTCCCTCGCATTTCTACCGATTGTGCATTTAAACTAGGTGATCTGTTTGGTTTATACCGGGGCAAGAAATTCAGTTCCAATTAATTAATATTACCGTGCTCATAATGTTACATATTTTGTAACAGAGTGCTGCTTTCACAATTCAATTTTTGGCAGTGCTGGTCTAACATATCAAAATCATTTACTGGTCCCATAGAAAGAAAATATCCGTCATCACGTAGTTCAAAGTAAACAAAAACATTAACGCTTCAGAACAAAGTTGCCAATAGTAACGAAAACAAACTCCAATGGTCTTATAAGAGTGTATTACTGGACAAGAACAAATTATACCATTCTAAGGAGACAACAATCAAGTAACATCAGCCTGAATTAGAAAAAAAGTTCTTGGTAAAATTATGGATATTTATTGAAAGTGTCAAATAGCGTACAGGTTTCTAAGTTTGTCAGAAGAAGTCGCTGCATTAGGAAACGCTACATAAAACATTAAACTACTGTAGAAATTTAAGATATTTATACCTTTAACTTCGAGAAAATGACCAAATGTGCAGAACGGATTTGACAATTGACTCAATTTTGAAACACTTCATAGAAATCAAGTCAAATTGTGAAGGGCCTTCTAAAAGCGATTCTTGAAACTTATGTTAAGTTTTTAAGTGACTGGGGTACTGAAACTTCCCCATATGAAATAGACAAAAACCCCACTCACCCTATTAGATTCAATAGGGTGTCCAATGACGAGCTCGTAAAATTAAGGGATATGTAACCTCCCTCGCAAAACAAGAATAGACACGTCGGGTTTCCAATAACTTTTCCATAAGCGACTGCCGGCGGCCATGCTTCGTAGAGGGACCGTAAGGTAATAACCACACGAGTCCCTGCTCGTAAGCTAAACAGACGACGGTAAGAGGTGTAGACTCCCGGTCACAGACTTATACTGAAACCCCTAGACACGGGTAGGATAAGTCCCCTCATCTCTTTAGTCACCATTTCATTACACATACTAACTGGCTTGTTTTGCATGAACTGTAGATGTGATTCGTTTGGGGTCAACGATTAGAGGAAAAAATTTTGATAATAATTTCCTAGGCGAAAGTTTTAAAAAGAAGGAGGAGGTGGCAAAATGGAACAAACAATGTTTGGACGTTTATTGCAACCAGAAAAAGAATAAGCAAGCAAAATTTCAATAGATTGCAAATTACTTTAATTCGGTAGTCAATACAAATTAACCATCCACGTTGCATTCTGATGGCTCAACAATATGCTCTTTAGCGTTAGTTTGAGCTGCGTTGTAGAAATCATTCCATTGTGCCACAGGATGACCCAAAACTTCTTGGCACGACCTGGCGTTGTCGAGTACTTCTTTATTAGTTAGGACTCTGTCCCACAGGTTAAAACCAGTTAAACGTACCTCATCGCCAAGTTTTCTCCTACTATACCCTACAGTTAGGTATTTTGGATTTCCTTTTAATTTATCCTGTGCTTGACAATCATCGTCTGACGGAATCGAGTTGCCATCTTTGAAGTATTTAATTGTTCGTGCGTTTCCATCCCAGGCCATACAAACATGATGCCAATGATGATCATCGAGCTCTTTGACTGTACCCTTCGTATAGCTGTCAGGAAAAGGAATGGGAAAAAAATAAAAGGTTAATCAAAAGACATATGCTGATTTGCTCGGGCAAAGACAAATTCACCAGAGAAACACTTTACTGCGTAACGTTTCAGTCTCCACATGTGCCAAATTAAAAAGTGAAATTGTACAAGAAACTCTGTATACTCAATTTAGAGCTAACACTCATCCAACCCGAAGCAGGGTGACTCAAATAGTGTGTCTTGAAATCTCAACTAAGTTTATTTTAAAACAACAACAAATCGAGATGTACAAAGTTAGTCATTTGGCTAAGCACACGGTTGTCCTCGCTCTGCGCATGTTATAGTGTTACCTAGCAACAATAAAATAGGTGCACACAATATCGACACGTAGTGCTTGTCGAAATATCTGTTTGCTAGCTTAACTGTCTTACGGTGCTCTGGTTGCTCAGTCTTAAACTGGCTTCGTAAAGACACAGGAATAAGTGTCAAGCAATGGTTTTGTCTTTTATACTTTAGCAATGGTAGGATGGTCGTAGTCAGTTTTATAGCTAATGGCCTCGCTTTTCACTTCAATTGCAATAATAAACAAATGCAACATACTTGATTATTCGTATTGCTAGGGAGACATGACTTAGAGACATGCTTACCAAAATGTCGATGAAGCATGCAATGTGAGCATGAAAACGTACAAACGCATGCCGCCTTTACGTTCGCCATAGAGTTTGACGTAAATAACATCCCTACTATATGTACGGTATGCTGCTAAATCCATGTTATTAACGTCATTTTTCCAATCCCCTGTAGTTTGAAGCTTCAGCCACATGCACATTGTCAGCTGCGTCACGTCAGGAGAGACATCGTCCGGTCTTATCTTCAGCTGATTCCTCTCAATACCACCATAGACGATTCGGACGTCAAAAGACGGGGATAACGGACGAGCTAGTTGAAAAAGCGGAAAACGGGTTTGAAGTTAGTGAGTAAATTACAGTAGACCGTTGGAAGGGGATAGGCTGAGTATTTTTTCCGTAGTCAACGAGCACTGACCGTACGTCACGCAAAATATTGAACGCTGAAATTATCTCAGGTAAAACTTTTTTAATGAAAGCCATTCAGTATAGTCCCCATCCAAAATTTTTGTTTATAGCCTCAACTATGATGTGCAGTGGGTCTGAAAAAACTTTGATTGAAATAACCTTGGTTATTATTGATATTACTGGTTGTGGATATGGAAAGGAGAATTGAAACCAACTCATCAAGTTAAAAACAATATGAAATCATGCGTGTAAAAAAGGTATATGTTGAATAGAGAATAAAACGTATGGCGCGGTTGTAGCTGTGGGTGTATAGAAAAACTAAAAGATATTTGAAATCACGTTAGTTACTGAATAGAGAGAAAGGTAGAAATCATGAATGTATGTATAATAGAACATACGGCAAGGTTGTGTATTGCACTCCTGTGTCTCCCTGGTTGCCCCAAGGTGTTTACAGTCCTTCCCACCCCTCGCTGGGGGAGGATTGTTGCAGGTCCTGACGAGAGTCTTGGTACCTCCACCACATGTGGCAGTGCACTCAGAAACCACTGACCATCCAGTGTAGCCACCATCAACAGCTATTTGCGAAAGGATTAAGCTATAACTATGAGAACTATACTTTATAAAGAAGCTGCTTTCCGTGAATGCCGTGCCTTAGAGAACTTTGCTGAGCTTTGGCTGTAAGTTATATAAATACTACTTGTGTTAGTCCTAAAAGACTACTCTCCCATCACTGCACGGCAGTGCAGTCGCAGCCCAAGGAAGCGTCCTTGCACTGGTACTCACAGATACTCCCAGGTAACGGCTGCTGTGAGAGTAAAGTGTCCTACAATTAATTGAACTGAATACATAAACATGTATCACAATGGCCTTGGTAACGTCCATGGTAACATGTTGGAATTTAACCAATTTAAGAGGGACGAGTGATCCAATAGTTTTTAAGAGCTTCACACGTTCAGTCAAAGTCAAAGGCGCTGAGATATTTACCTCCAGAAACTACACACTGAGACAACTCTCTTATAAAATTCCTCCTAAGTGACTTCTTATAGAACTCTCTCCATTTCACAATTGGACCACCCATGCCTCCATCACACTTATTAGCTTCCTCGGCAATCTCTGATTCCGTGAGTATTCTATTCCACAGATTAAACCCTGTTATCTCCACGTTCTCTGTTCTTTCTCCTCCTCCAAGTTGGAGCGCTCCACCAGCGTTCCTTGTGCCGACCGAACAGGGTTGAAATTTGACTTCAGCTCCGTCCCTGTAGTAACTTGTGTATCCTGAATCTGCGGCGCCGTCCCATAAGATACAGATATGATGCCATTGGTCATCCATCAGATTAGTAGCGTCGAAAGTACTAAAAGGAAGAAAACGTCAGTTAACTTATTTTATTAATAAGTTAGGTATAATTTGGCCCTACGATTGCATGAGCCGAAAATTGCACTGCACCCACAGAGATTATAGTAGCCTTTGAAAACCATTCAAGAAAGTTGCATTATAATTTTACAACGTATCATAGATTACGACACATGTCAGGTTTGTAACCGATAAAACATAATCTTACCTTCACAATATAAGTCATAACTTAACAAGGTAAACCGTTTTGGCACCTTTGTAATGATCTCTATATAACCAGATGAAGATTACATCCTAGGGGCTCAAAGCGGCAGATTGATCGAGATCATCCACCACCGCTATTGGGCACGCTGTATTTGAACTTCCACTTTAATAACGATACAATCAACGAAACCAACTGATAAATCATTTACCATGGCTTTGCCTCATTTCCAATTCCAAAGACAAGACTTTTGCTGTCGTCGAGGGCCAGAAAGAAGCTGTTTGTTTTCAATGTATTTAGAGTATCCACGTCATAGGAGACAAGGTACATTCTTTTGTTTGAACTGCTGCTCCATCCTGCTCCAATCTTAAGCCACAAACAGATGGTCATTTCTGATAAGTCTGGAATGTCCTCCACAGAAAATGAGTTCATGGTCAACGTTGGCTTAATCAAGATATCAAAAAGCTCCCTTGCTACAAGTCAAAATGATATTGATCAGGTGTTAGTGTCCGAAGGATTCAAATATAAATTGATTGGTACAACAAGTATCATATCCTTTTATGAAAAATGCAGTAATTTTTCCCGAAGATGATTGCACAAGAATACGAAAGTCATAAGCTCACAGCATGCCTGGCGGGTTGTACACTGCACCGCACTGCACAGTGAAGCGGTGTATTTGTTGATACTTGGCAATCAATGTTGATATTAGAGGAACTAGTGCCGAGCACGCGATAAAATGAAGGTGGCAATAATTTCCAAGCGCTCTGAAAGAGAAGTTAGAAGGAATCATTTTATTTCCTCGATGCATTTTATCATTTTATCCCGAAAAAATGTTGGGTAATCTGTTACCAACATTCAAAACAAATGTTGTGTGATTGAAACGAGAAATAAGCAAACTGCTGTACTCACGTGTTCGATCGCACGTATTTCTTCTCAAGTATGGAACACTACTAATAATTAGTAGATTTTCGTACGAACTGCAAGCTAGAAAAAATGATAAATGCTTGTTCACTCAGAAACTCTCGTTTCTTTTCATTCGAAAAGGTAAGTTACAATTTATGTCAGCTGAAAATTATTTAACGTCACTTTGGAAAGAAAGTATCACTGGTTACTATATGAAAATATTTTTATGGGGAATACAAACCCTTACTATCATCAGCTCTGACTAAAGTGTATTCTTTTTACTTTTCTCCCATAGAAAATTAAACTCACTTTCACATGCCTAAAGTTAAACACTGCATCCAGGAGCTATAGCGTTATCACATAGGAGAGAACAAAGCAACACATCAGCGAAGGAGCGTATTTCTCTCCCTTCTCATTTGAGTAATTTGTTCGACCATTAGACCTCTTAAATACGTCGTAGGCAGTACTTCTCAATCTTTTCTTTCCCTAAAGGCGCGTATTCGGTAATTCTCTCTCATGTACCTCTATCTTGTGAAAGATAATCCGCTAGGGCCGACTTTGCCTATTATTATTTTGTTATGAGACGCTCGCACTCGAGGCGATAAGAAAAGAGGAAGCTGTTGGAGTAAGAACACGGTACTGATATAAAATAATCACACTTACATGCCGGATCTGGAAGGACTAGAAAAAGTACGATGACCAGGTAGAGACCTCCCATTGTACTGTGAGAGAAATAAACAAAAAATGACAATCTGGCTTCTTACCTTCGAACTTCGTCGTAAGCTAAGAGGGAGGTGTCCACCAAAAAGGTAACGTGAACATGAACAAATGCGGCCAAGTCCGTAAATGTTCAAAACACGATTATTATTTAAATGAGGGCTTTTGTGATCTTTGAAAATGTCTTGTACTTTTGTTAAATTTTACAAAGTTATTACGAGTTGATTATTATTAGCGGTTCAATTGGCAATAGCAAGTAAGGCTCGTTTCACAAGTTTGTTGTAGTAAACAATCATAGTAAGCCTTGTTCGAGCCCAATTTACAGTTTTCTTTTTAACGGTTGCCTCTGCCCTTAAAAAATGCCCTTAAACTGGCCAAAAAAATTTTTCCAACTTTCGAACAATGCCTTCTATCAAGGCTAGACAGCATTTTGGTTCTCCACATTCGTTCTCCATATTGCCTTTTGCTTGATGAAGCGAACTTACCCAGCGCTTTGGCTTAACACACTGTAAAATAAGGAAGCCTTTGGTGAATTTTAGCTAATTTGTGAGTTATTTATCATAGAAGGTAACCTTATTTGACAGACCTGCAAATGTAAACAGTCGTTGTAAGGTGGTCGTAAACCTTCAACACTTACTGGGGAAGGATTTAGTGAAGCGAACTTACCCACCACCTGCGCGTAACAAAGCAAGTTACCATTATTTTGCATGGTTAGTTATTTGTCATACAACTTCATAGGTAGATTAAACCTTCTAACTCTCGCGCACGCGTTGTATTGATAGGAAAAATTTTTAAGGGTTAACTATTTTACGACTAACGGTTAGGATTTGTCAAATGGCCGTTGACCTCTAATAACTAACACTATGGAGACCCTCAGATTAGGAAGATGTACACCTAAGAAACACGTTCTTCAACTGCGATTCACCAGCTGCTATTGATTTGAGCTGCTTTAAAACGGTGGTCTAATGTACACAAATAAATACTGACTGTCTATCAAAACATTCAATAGACTTAGAGCATATTCCTTCGCTTTACAGTTGACTTGACATAACTTTGACATCTATGAAAAAAAATTAAAATACCTTTACTGAGCATAAAGAGAGTAGTTTGTTCATACCTTCTGGGATCAAGAAATTAAGGGGATTTGTTTCTAACTTTCTGAAAAGTGAGAGCAAAGCGAATTGACGGGAACTGTTTCAATTGTTTCCAACTTGCAAAGGAAGTTCAAACAAAACCAGCGTTCTACGGTTCAAAGACCAGAGAAAGGTGTCATACCACTGAATAACTTGCGGTATTTACTCTTACGTCGCAATAGTAATGAACTGAGCTTTCCGGTCTAAGTAACCTCTCTTGACTTTGAACAGATTACCAAAAGCGAACAGAAGAGCGACAGAGAACAGAGAAGCGACAGTAAGGTTGTAGCATTTACAATAATTGTTGTAGTTATAACTAAGGTTTTTTTTCTTTAAATTGTGATTTAACAGCAAAGAAACCCTCACGCGGCCGAAGGATGACTGAGAAATTCTTCAAATTGAACTTGGATGAATTTCCTATACTATCCAAACAATGCGGCTTTGCTTCAATGAGTAACGCTTTTGAAAGAAAAACGATAATATTTTACTTATACTTCCATCTCGCTTACTAGTACTGCCACGTTTAACGGACTCAAGGATCACAATTGGCACCAAATGTGTTTCATATGGAAAAAGACGGGCTACGTGAAATTCTACGTAGATGGAAAGTTGATACGCTCACGTGACGATTGTGGGACAGGTCTCGTGGTGAGGGGCAGATTTCCGGCTTTAGGGAGCATGGAAAATAGGAAAACCAGTAATTGGGTGTTTATGACTGGTTTTGTTCTGTGGGACATAATTCTTACAGACGAAGAGATTCTCAAGAGTACTAAGACTTGCGATGGAACGAACGGAAACCCCGTAGTAAAATGGGAAGATTTCTACCCGTTGGCTGAGTCAAATGCCGCGGATTTTGTGTTGAAACCATCAACATGCCAGGCTCTTAAGTAACTCTTGCGACATCATTAATATTAGCGCAAATGTAATCACCATAAAAAGCCAATGTGCGAGATACCAGACCTTGTAAAAACAATTAAAGCTATTAACCCTTGGAGCTTTGGTGTTCAAATTTTCCTTCTTTTTCTATTTAATGGATTTTTTTTCCTTTATTTATCCGTTTCTGTATTTTGTTTATGTATGTGCGCGTTAATCTACTTTCGGCAGTCACGTTTTTTGCTGATAGTCAGCAAGTTGATGCCCTCTTACTGGGAAACAAGGTTAAATGAGCTACCGGCAGAAATTTTTTAAAAGGAGTAGTCATTGCGCAAGGTAGATGCGAAGGAAGGCAGAGAAAACCTCAAGGAGGATACTTAGGAAGGACTCCAGTTGCTTGATCAAAAATATTTGCTGACACGTAAAGGATGGCTGATTAAAAGATGGAAAATCAGCGGAAGCCCACTAGAAAATGGGGGGCACACCAACCTTGATAACTCGCATGCTTGGCAAGTGCGATCTCCAGCTCTCATGGATTATTTAAAAGTCCGTTTTGCTGTGCAGTTCGCCGGTAAGCCTCGCAAGGCATCCATTTACGTTTCCTATGAAAGTCAATTGAGCTAATTAAGCATCTCAACTTAGAATGAATCAGACAAAGCAAATGTATGAATGATGTTCATCGCATTGCTGACATAATGAGGCTTAAAAATTTTTTTCGAAACAGACAAAAAAGCGGCGTTGGGTGACACGGAGAAACAGATTCCATCGTGCTTTTAAAATTAACTGACCGCATATATCCATTTGTTTTGAAAATGAAACACCAAACAAATTGGCGCTTTTCAGAGCATATTAATTTCATCAAATTGTAGATTCAGTGGAACTCAGTTCAATGAAGTGCAAAGCAAGGCGACGTGCCATATTGCAAAGCATCCAGAAGTAAGCCCTATATGTACATGTTCCTTCCTTGGATTTGCTCAGACGAAATATATTTTTCTAACCTCCCAATAAAGGACCATTTTGTTCCATTTGATGCATGAATGTAATCAAAGTGAAAAATAGTAAGAAATAAAGACAATTTGAGATTGAGGGCTGAGAACGAATTGTTTTAGCCAGACGTACATGTCCGACCGTTTAGTCCTCAAACATCTTTGTTCCTAATACGTCCTTATAGTTTAACACAATTTCACCCACAGAAATTAAAACGCAGATCGTACAATAATTTTAGGAAGCTGCATTGCTTTGGATATTCTCCCACTTTTGTCAAACCGACACTTTAACGATTGCTTAAGTTAGTTTGATTTTTTGAACGCAATCCACTAATTATTGCGGTACAATATAAAGACCAGTCCTGAGAAAAACATACGCTGAAAAGTCCGGTCACGACCGAAGCTGTCATTATGTAATTTAACTACGTCACAGTGCGCGCGGCATGTAATTGAAACAACAACAATAAAGAAAGAAGACGTTACGTTTACTCGTCTTATTTTGTCGTTACAACATTAACAGTTGTAACATTGGTGCCGTGACCAGCGCGAACAAGATATAATGAGCGAAGAAGAAATAAAGAAATTGAGATCCATCCGAGGAGCATACAAGGGACACTGCACCCAAGATTTCAAAAGAGCGGAAAAACTAATAACTTCGGAGACTCCAGATCAAGCAGAATTGGAGGCGCTGGTGGACAGGCTCACGCGAAGAGCCGAAGAAATAGCACGCATGGATGCAAAAATCGTGATGTCCTTGGAGACAGAAGAGGACATACAACTAGACACAGAAACGGCGTTGTCGTTCCAAGACGACGTATCATACTAGCAATTCAAAATCGGACGACTCCTTAAGAGCAAACAAGACACGCCGGTGAGCCAATTCCATTATAGTAGTTTAAAACAAGAACCCGCTCCACGAATGCATATCAATTTACCTAAAATAGACATAAAATCATTCGGGGGAGACCCACTTCAATGGCTCACATTCTGGGACAGCTTTAGCGCAGCTATCGATAAAAATCACGGACTAAGCGATATTGAAAAAATGAATAACTTAAATGGAATGCTTAAGGGAGAAGTGGCGCGCGCTATCTCTGGACTGCCACTGACTGACGAAAATTATAAAAAAGCAATTGAGCTATTAAAGGAGCGCTTCGGCAAACCACAAATTTTGACGAACGCTTACATGGAGTCCTTATCCAAGATCGACGCGCCACCAGCTGACACCAAAAATCTCAGAACGTTTTGCGACACCTGCGAGGCAAACATTCGCGGTTTAGAGGCACTTGGAGTAAAAACGGAAACTTATGGAAGCTTATTGATTCCCATTCTTCTAAAGAAAATACCCGAAGAAATTCGGTACTCAATATTCAGAGCTGACCCTTCAGCGGACAGTTCCCTAGACAGATTGAGAATCGCCATGCGACAGGAAATCGAAACTCGCGAGAAGGGCCATATGTCCTCTCCAAAACCAACCACAGAGGACGAAGTGCTTGTGCCAACAGCTGGTGCGCTACTAACCGGTACACAACAACGACACGGAACTTACAACGCCAAACAAAAGACACCTAGGTCTTACACGTACTGTGCAGGAACACATCGACCTGAAAAGTGCGACAAGATTAAAACAGTAGAGGAACGACGATCCCTACTTCAGCGCCAACAGCGCTGCCTTAACTGTCTTGGTCTCTACCACACAAAAATCCAATGTTTCTCAAAGGGGCTATGTATGAAATGTAAGAAAAAACACCACACTTCAATTTGTGATGAAAACCAAGAAAATACAACCCAAAGCGCTTCTAGTCAACTAAAGGAAGACAAAGGGCCGAAGAATGATCACCTATCAGCGGATTCCGTGTCGAAGAACAGAACCCACATGGGAGCAACGCATGTACTCCCTTCTAAAGCTCATATCCTGATGCAATCCGCCGTTACGAAAATAAGTGGAAACAATAAACAGTACTATCAAGCTCGCATCCTATTTGACACAGGATCACAAAGAACCTTTATCACTCAGGAGATGAAACACAAACTTAAACTAGGAACAATGGGAAGCGAACTTTTAGATGTGACGACATTCGGTACACTTCAAGGCAGGAGAAAAACATACGACCTTGTGGCACTGACATTGTCAACAGAAGTAGAAAATATCAAAATAACAGCCCTAGTAACTCCAGTTATTTGTCCACCACTATCGGCTAAGGTGAAAAATTTACAGATACCGCCGGAATTACAAGGACTTAAACTTGCTGATCCTTCACATTCTCTTAAAATTCAGAACACACAAAAAGGCCTTCTCTGCAGCTATAGAAAAGGCCTTCTAACAGATCGAACTGAACTCCCTAGAAAGAGACGCAACGAGATTTCTGTGGCTTAAAGATATAAATCAACCAGTTGACACTAAAAGCAACTTGGAGGCTTACAGATTTTGCCGAGTTCTGTCTGGAGCGACACCCTCGCCCTTTCTGCTGAACGCAACAATACAATATCACCTAAGTCAAAAGGACAACTGGGTAGCACGGGACCTCATGGAGAACATGTATACGGATAACGTGATAACCGGAACTGATTGCGATAATAAGTCCTTAGAATATTACTCATTATCGCAAAGGTACCTTCAAGAAGCAGGTATGAATCTACGCCAATGGACTTCTAACTCAGAAGCTCTAAATCGCATAGCACAAGAAGATCATATACAAGCAGATCCAACAACAAAAATCTTGGGACTCACCTGGAATTCAACAAGTGACACGCTCTCACTTTCAATCGAGAAAATGATCAGAGAAAGAGATGCTATCACAAAAACAACAAAACGAACAACGCCAAGCTTCGCATCAAAATTGTTTGACCCGCTCGGCTTCGTGGAACCTATTACAGTAAAGGCAAAGATTATGATTCAAGACCTGTGGAAACAAACCTTAAGAGAACAGTGGCTAAAATGGACTGATGATACCCACAATTTAACCTCAATTGAAGTACCCAGACAGTACTTCTTCGCAAACGTTACAAAACACAATTGCACATATTTTGTGACAGCAGCCAACAGGCTTACCGAGCGGTCGCTTACTTAAGAGGATTGTCAGCTGACGACGGAATACACACTGCATTCCTTATGGCTAAAACCAGAGTCACACCCTTGAAAACGACAACACTACCACGACTAGAACTATTAGCAGTACTCTTGGGAACAAAACTATTCCAATACCTAAACAAAACCTTAGAGCTTGTAAACAGCAGTGAAGTTATATACTGGAGTGATTCACAAATTGTGTTCTCTTGGTTATCTTCTAACAAACAACTACAACAATTTGTTTGAACTCAAGTTCACAAGATACAAGAAATCATATCATCCCAAACCTGGAGGTTTTGCCCAACGTCTATGAACCCAGCTGACTTGATAACCCATGGAGTAAGCACTATTATATTCAACCATAAGAAAAAACTATGGTTTGAGGGACCTCCATGGCTTAGCGAACCAGAGGAACAATGGCCTCCATATCCCCAACATTTATTTCATGAAGAACTTCAAAGCTTACAAATGGAAATTGTCACAAACGTCGCAGATGATCCAAATATACTAATCATCAACATAACAAGATACAGCACCCTAGTTCGTCTACTCAGAGTCACTGCCCGCGTTATCAACTTCGCAAGAAAATGGAGAAAAAGAAAAATATACAGTGAAACTTTTAAAGCAAAAGATATCATGGAAGCCAGGAATGTCTTGCTGAAAGCTACTCAACATAAAACCTACAGACAAGAAATTTCATACCTGAAGAACAAAGACAAATCCAGACAACCTGCCATCATACGACAACTCGATCTTTATCTTGATGATGAAGATATCATACGCTGTTGTGGTAGACTACAGTATACAGATCTACCTCACAACACAAAATTTCCTATCCTCATACCAAAGGACAACTACTTAACTACACTCATCGTCCATTCTATGCATAAGCAGGTCATGCATGATGGAGTACGAGAAACATTTACTCACATCAGACAAACATATTGGATACCTCAAGGTCAACAACTCGTAAAAAGAATCATATCAAAGTGCGTAACATGCAGAAAAGTCGAAGGACCACCCTTTCGCTCTGTACCCACACCACCGTTACCACAATCAAGAGTCCAACAATCACTAGTCTCTCAATTTACAGGGATCGATTACGCAGGACCTCTATATGTCCGCGACCAGGCAAATCAAACCTCATCTAAAATGTACATATGTCTTTTCACATGTGCGGTAGTGAGAGCCGTACACCTTGAATTAGTAGAAGATCAGACCACCGATGCCTTCCTTAGAGCATTCAGACGATTCATAAGCCGTCGAGGAGTTCCGGAGTGTATCATTTCAGACAATGCAAAAACCTTCAAAGCCGGAGCTCAAGAACTTCAAACAATCAAAACTCAAATCCTTGGAACTGGTTCATCCCAACAGTTCCTCGCTCATCACAACATAACATGGAAATTCATAACTGAAAGAGCTCCGTGGTGGGGAGGATTTTACGAGCGGCTTATTGGTCTAATGAAAAGATGTTTAAAGAAAAATCTGGGGAAAGCCTGCCTAAACATGATTGAACTAAACACAATACTTACTGAAGTAGAAGCAGTGTTAAACAGCCGACCCTTAACATACCCTTACACAGACATCAACGATGCCTCTCTGACGTCATCACATTTCTTATGTGGATACCGTCTCCTAACATTACCAGACACGAATGCTAAAGAAAACGAAGCAGATCCAGATTATATTCCATCTGAGATGTCAACAAAAGCACTGACAAAAAGGGCTCAGTATCAGAAAACACTAATAAACGCCTTCTGGACACGATGGAAAACTGAATATCTGACAAGTCTGCGAGAACATCACACTTGTCGAAAGAGAATATTAAACAAAAAGGCAGTTGCTATTGGAGATGTTGTTCTCATACACGATAACACACCACGAAACCAATGGAAAATAGGTGTGGTAACTAGCCTACACACGGGGAAAGATGGACTCGTAAGATCTGTATCTCTCAGAGTACCTTCTGGAAAGGAACTATCACGACCTATAGAGAAACTTTATCCGTTAGAGATGTCAGACATACCGACTAACAAAAACACAGGAAAAGCTCCTGAAAATGATATACAACGTCCTCCTTTACGACTTGCCGCTCAGAAGGCAGCACAGAGAATCAAGGAACAAATAGAATAACCACTGATATTGAAGGGAACAATATAAGACATTTTTTTTTACTCTTTACACATGAATGTATACTATATTTTCAGCTTATGTTGTCGGCCCGGGAGAGTGTCATAAATTATGTCATTTAACTACGTCACAATGCGCGCGACATGTAATTACAACAACAATAAAGAAAGAAGACGTTACGTTTACTCGTCTTATTTTGTCGTTACAACAGAAGCCATCAGGTAATCATCACAAAATATCTAACAGACAAGTTCAAAATCATAGCTGTATTAATCTCAGGTTTCTCTTTAACAATGTCAGCGTCTCTACATGTCGCTGGAGTTTTATTGGAATTTTGGAAGTTCAGACCAGAGGTACTGCAGTTTCATTCATTCTGGTTTCGGTATGCTTCAATCAGCCCATGGTAGAGAAGATCCTTACTAACTATGATCGGCAAAGAGTTATAATTACTAGCTGTTCCTATCCTGCCGATACTTATTAATTAGAATAAGCAGTTTCTTAGATAAAATGTAAAAATGGCCCAATGATTAATAATCTCAAAATGGACTCAAAAGAACATGACTTGGACTGTTGCAGATCTGTTGGGGAATTTGGTATTTTTAGACTTGGTTCCTCAAGAAATAGTGCATGTTCTTCAAGCGATAATTCTACCATCTCCTCAATGCTTCCTTCGCATTCACTCTTCCTAAAAGGAAGACCATAAAGAAAATATTTTCACCGAGAAGATCTACATTCAGTCCCACAATCATCCAAATTATTGGCTCATATGTCTCTAGGTTCAAAATTGAAAAGGAACCAAGGCCTTTGATAAGAATCACTGAATGATTTGAGAGCAACTGAAAGTACAGGGAAACCAACAAAACAGAGCAAGCAGCTGGTATCGTCTGAATGTGAACCGGCCGCCGATAATCTTTTCTTCTCTAGGATATTATTGAAATACCATTTTTTTTTCTCAGAGGGCACGGTACTCGGGCGGTACTCAAGACTTCGGGCACAGTTTTTCCCAATAAGGACCTACCGGCTAGCGAATAACATATATTTATTCTTCAAAATTCATCCAAGATATATTGTCACCACACGCTGTAAATATGCTATCCATATCTTTCACATGCAAATATGAAAAAATTTGCCACGTTATATAATTGATTGCATTTGCGCTCTTAAAGAGAGTCTATTTACTTAAGAAGCATTTGTTGGTGTAAAATCGGCTTTTCCTTATGACAAACGGTAAATATTTTTATAGGGAGAACTTGCTTAAAAGTTGTACCAGTAATTGAAAAAGCATATTATGAGATAATAACGACCCGTAATAATCGCTGTTTTTTTTTTTCTTAACTATCTAAGCTATCCAACAAACAGAACATAAAATGTCGGCTTTATGGATCGAATTTATCTTTGTGTGTTGATGGCGTCTCTTTTCGTTCGTAATCCTTATTGGTTGATAATTTCTTAAAACCCTCCAAGAGAAAATTCGTATCCGCGCACGCGGCCATGTATTGTCCTTCATGCTAAATTGTTTCTTAACATTTAAAAGAAAATTCCAAAGATAGCGTTACTTTCGAAAGGAGCAGTTACCAAGTATCTGTATTAGACTTGAGTTCACGCATAGTCTAATGCAATTACTCCTCAAAAGTTCCGTATTGTTCTCCAGCGCCGTCCCCTAGGACTGGTGCGTGTTCTTCGTGTCCTCTTGCTTCATGAACCATTTCATCTGCATTTCCCGCCTTTTTCAATAACAAAATTATCGAAACAACCATTCCGCAAAGTAGAACCACGTTCACCGACACAATCATCCAAATGATGGGTAAGGATGAGTCAGGGTTCAGAGCTGCGTACCTTACGTTCATGAAAGAGGAATGAAGAGTCAAAAGAACCAAGGTCTCTGCTGTGTTTTCCAATGGGAACTTTTGGTAAGAGTCGTTTAACGGCCTGAAGGACAACTGCAAGCACAAAGCAATCAGCAAAACAAAGCAAACAGCTACCGTCTGGAAGGACGATGCACGATTGATGAGAGACAACGCGAAAGCGATCAGCATCCGCCTTAGAAGAAAGATGATCTCAAAATAGGGACGGAATTCTTCCCTGTATGGCAAGTAGATAGAACCGAGCCAGCTGTCCAAAGATTCTTGGTCTTGCTGGGGCATTTCATGTCTTCTGGCCACCTTATTGAAGTGCAGGAGAGGAAGGAACAATCCAAAAGGCACACCGATCACATAAAGAGGCAGGGCAAGCCAGCCTAACACCTGTAAGATGGTGTAGTCATAACCTTCACATTCCATCCATGGGGCCTCCCTCAAGTAACGCTGGCCATTATCCTCACCACAATGCGCAAGGGTAGACGCTGTCTTTTTCACGATGGGAAAGTACGTAAAGTTAAGAGTCATGACCGAGAGTTGTAAACAGGTATTCCGAAGTCGAAGTCGTCTTTCTTCTAAATTGGGATATTCAAAAATTCTAAAGACGAGGTAACCAAGGGTGAAGTAGAACCAGACAAGCAAGATGCAGATCAGAGGAAGAATTAAAAGAGATGCGAGCTCGCCGAGTGGAGTAAACAAGCTCGGAAACTCACAAGCCAGGCCAGAGAAACGAAAGTTGAAAACATTTCCAATGTATCTCTGCGTCTCCAAAACCTCAACCGGCCAAACGTCCGTGTTGGACAATAAGGCATCAAAAGTTTGGAAATAAAATATGCTTGTCTTCATGATTCCTCTTGCTCTCTTTCCTCTTCCAGCTAAACCGATGAAAAGAGCAATAACGTTGAGTTCGAGGAGCCAGGCTGGAATGATTTGAAGCATCGCCAAAACGGTTAAAATGATGATTTGAGAACAGACAAAAATAACAGATAGAAATCTCTTCTTCTCGTAAAAGAAAAACCCAAGGGTAATGAGCATGATGGAAAAAATCAGAAGTACGGTTATAATGTACACACTGGCTTTACTTTTACGACAGGCGTAGCAAAGTATTCCCTGTTTGTAATAACCATGTTCACAAAGGGAGCAAAACCTATCTCGACTACCGTTCTGACAAAGGCACGACTTGTTACAGGTAACGAATGGTCTGTCAATTACTCCATTTGTCTCCTTAAGCCAACCAGGATCAATACGACACTCACAAGAGCCATTTGGATTGCATAATGTATTTACGTAGGGACTGGTGCCCAAAGCTTGCGAACATTTTACTAGGCGAGTCACGTTTCCATGAAGTGATGAAGGCCAATATCCCTTTTTAATGATCATCAACTGCGTAGGAAACATTTGATCGTGACACACTCCCCCTTCCATACAAGGTAAACAGGTTCTTCCTAAGCCATAGTATCCAATATTACAAAGGCACAGACGGTAAAAATAGTAATTTGGGTCTAACACGACAAGTGCTTTGTTGTAATTGAGTCGAGCATTGGGACACCTGAATTTATCATCTGGATTTCTCTGCGTAAAAGTTTTAAAATCAACCGTCACGAAGTTGGGTAGAGCTCCTTTTTCCTCGTGGGATTCGTGCATACTGGGATTCAGTGAGATGTCAAAGACTTCCAGTGCTAAGAGTTTTTCAAATTCTTGAGGAATTTTTCCTGAAAGGTTGTTCGCAGATACGTCAAGATTAAGAAGAAATAACATATTATCTGGGGGAGATGGAAGCTGTCCAAACAAGCTATTTTTACTTAAATCTACAGAAATCAAAGTTTGGAAGTCCCACAGTTTTGCGGAGATTTTTCCCAGAAAATTGCAGTCACTGATGTTAAGAATACGCAACGATTGATTTATGGGTTCCATTGCTTCTAATAGGGTATTAAACATTATGGTAAGCTGTTTATTACCAGCCAAATTAAGTACTTCTAAGGATTTTGACTTGAAAACAATTCCTTCTTGTAGCCCCGATAACTGATTTCCACTGAAATCAGCAACTTGAAGCATGGGTATTGAGCCTAAGCTTTTTGGTATTTTTCCAGAAAAAGCGTTGTTCGCCAAGTTTAAATGCCATAAGTTTGTCATGTTACCCATTGTTGAAGGAATGCTTCCGCTGAAATGATTGCCAGGCAAAAGACACTCAATCATAGCAGGAAAGTAAAGTCCAAAATCATCTGGTAAAGTCCCGTTTAGCCCGGCAAGAGACAGGTGCATGTAAAGTAGAGATGACAGATTGTAAAGGTTTTCAAATCCGCCTCTAAGAAATGACACACTCTCAAGATCCAAAAACCAAAGCTTCTTCAATTTGGCAATGCTCTTCGGAATCATGCCGTTCAATGTGTTTTCTCCGAGACTGAGAACTTGCAGCTCAGTCAAGTTCCCAATGTCCCTTGGAATTGTACCAGAGAGACCCTTTCCCAATTGGCAGCAGAGTTGAACTCTTACCAAAGATACCATCTTTGGTAAGATTTCAGCGGGAATCTCACCAGACAACTCATTAAACGCAAGATCAAGACGAAGCAAGGTGGTCATGTTGGCAGACAAAATTTCAGAAAGATTGCCTGACTGCCTGTCGTTGTCACTTACACACAAACCCTGCAAATTACGAAGTTTCCACAAACTTCTTGGAAGAGCCCCAACCAACTTGTTTTTGGTTAAAGTGATACTGATGATGTAGCTATTGGTTTGATCACATGTGATTCCATACCAAAGGCAATGTGATACTGAGTTGTTCCCCCAGTGAGTACTTTTTCTCCAATTGTGACCATCTGTTTGGTTGAATATTTCCATGAGTACAGCTCTTTCTTGTTGGGGCGTGAAGGTTGTTTCCAAAGTACTATTTGGAATTGGGATATCGTGCAAGCATCCATAGGCAAAAGTATCATCGTAATTCAGAGGAGTCAGTTTCTCTGTTCTCAAAACTAACAGTAAAACAATAAAGAGAAGCAGACAAATATAAGTGATTTCAGGTCAAAGTCAGTAAGGATTCTACCTTTCTATACCCTCAAGGGTTTTTCATGATGTGAATTATTGTGTCAAGTTTTTCTCATTTGAAATTCATAATTGATTATATAACTCGTAAATCAAGATTCCTGGGTTTGATCAAGGAAATTCATGACTACTTCTAATTTAACCTATACAATTCATGATCCATGATTTCACTTCAAGTGATCATAATCAAATCATGAAAAGCTTAGGAACATTTGAAAGGGAAATAAGGATGATCTGAAAGTACAACGTGCATTGGTTACTGCCCTCAAAAGTAACCCGAACAATACGATTCAAGTAATCCAGTTTTCATGATGATCTTCTGCCAAACAAATACCGTCACACAGTTCAAGATTTTGAACCAAAACGCCGATGATATATAAGGGAGTGTGACTTCCGCCTTAAGAAATCTCCCACATCTGTTGCGTCAAACAAAAGCCAGCACCGAGGCCCTCCATTCTAGTTCCGGAGAATAATTGGTAAAAAAAAACCTTTTGTTTTTTTTGCCATTAGTTGTAAACGAAAAAGTGTGTATCGAGTGTGGTAAAACACTTAAATGAGTTGACTAAGCTTACTGGCTCGCGCCTACCTGTTATGTCTCGTTTGTTCCCTCTTGCTCTGTAGTAGAGTGACCTCGATCCATAGTTTGATAAGTTTTCTCCGAACGTAAGAGATCGGTAACATTCGAAGCAAGCAAGGAGCGCCACAATTCTTAACAATACGGCTCGAAAGGAGTATTTTGATGAAAGCGTTTGGGCCATAATTGTCATTCTCCTAAAAGAAACCGGAAGAGGCCTGGTTTTACGCAACCGAAAGACAATGCGATCAGCGGTTTCAGCGGTTAATTTGAAAACAAGCAAAATGGCGGAAGGATTTCCTCCTGTAAATCGAAAGGTAAACGAAAGTACGGATAACAGGAAAGCTCCATTCTATGATCATCCAGTGTTTAGGGAAATATCACTATCCAATGGAAAAATAAATAAAATGAAGAAGGATGAAGTCAAGAAAATACTTAAAGAGCGTGGGCTGGACACACGGTGAGTGAAATATCATCAGCTAAAAGTAAACAAACTCAGCATTACGACTCCAGCCCGGATTATTTGTGACTTACTGAAATGGGTGACACCGCTGGATTTTTTACCTCGAAGGCTCGGTTTATTCCTTTGGGCATTGCTTTCGGTGGCTGCCGAAAACGTGTCGAATGATTTCGGTTTTATTCGTTTCGATAAAGGTGAGATATTTTGGAAGAAGACCAAAGGAACTGCGGAAGGTACTTCAAAAGACTTGGACAATAGTGTAATTAAGCTACCTTGCGCGAACAGACTTGATCTTGTACTCTTTTGTTTACATTGTCTTGAGATGAATGAACTCGAGATCGATAAACTGCAATCATTTGAATGGATTTAGTTTCTATTCACGGTGTATTTTTAGCCTTATTATGTTTTTAGGATTAAAGAGCGTCGCAAAAGATTTAAAAATGGATCTTGGACGAGTTGTTGTAATCACTGCAAGGAGCAAAAGCGAAAATAGTTTATCATTTCGAGCGCTGATCGTTTTGTTTTGATCCGAATGAGTGCACTTGAATTAAACTACTTCTTTATTATGTAAATTATGAATGAATGTATGAACATCAGTGACACACATGGCTGCACCTTGTGAGCCGCTTTTTGGTTCATACCACATTTTCACATCATTTATGATCTACTTGTAATACTAAACAGAGGCACGGCAACATGGAATCAACTTTTTAAATGTTTCATGATGTATTCTGAGTCTAATATGAGTTTATAATTTGCAAATTATTCTCTATACCACCAAAAACTGTTTTCCAAAGCATGTGATATTGACAAGTTTGTTTTTAGATTTGATCAAATATTACATTGAGAATTGTCTTAAGAAAAAAAACTCTGGTATGTATTGTCGAGAGTCCATTGCATTGATCAGTAGTTTACATCATCTCCTTGCTGATGGCACGGATTACCTTCAAAGTACGCCTAAATAATTTTTTCCAATGTTTTGTTTTGCTGAGTAGGAAATTGTGGATAATGATGATACATTCCAAAGAGTCCTTGACAGCTTTCATCAGTGGCTTGAAATACATAAACCTGGATCAGAATATAAATTCGTTGTTGTCACTGATGGGTGAGTTTGCTTCTCATACACATTTCTTGCACTTCCTTTACTGAGTTTCCAACAGTTAAATCATCATCCCAGTGACTGGTACTCATATGTACTATAGGGCAGAGAGAGACACCGTGAAGGTGTCCCGCCCAGGCAGATATAGACTTGTAAATTTGCAGGGCTTGCAGATGTTGGGCTTATCAGTGAAGGGATGAGTAGATGAGCGCTAACATTTGTGTCTTTAACATTATTCTGTAGCTTCAATGAATGCCAAGCACAGTATGACATGCACCTCTTTGGTTGCAAAACCTACCATGTTTGAAACAAAAACGATAAATGCTTTCAATGTAAGAACATTTTGTACCGTAACGATGCACCGCTCAGACGACCAACGACCTCGGCACAGTTTTTAGTTCAAGGGAAGGGTGGGCTAAAGAGATGGTCCTAAAGAGAGAGGGCCTATTCGAGATGGGGGCTTAGAGGAGGGAGGGACTTCTGGGAGAGGGGCGTTTCCATAGCTTCCATGGTAATTCCTTTATATTTTTTCCAATGTAGCCCCTATGATATGAAGTGTTTCTTCTCAGGTCAGTGCGATTTCTGTTCCATTACCGTACCCAAGTAACCACAGAGTGGATTATCTGAGAAAATTGTACAGACATTTTTTACAAAGTGCTAAATGAGACTCTTGAAGACATGGTCAATAATCTCGGTATACAATTTGAAGGGCGGCCGCACTGTGAGATGGACGATGCGTGAAACATCGCAAGAATCTTACGAAAGATGATCCAAGATGGCTGCGAAATACACTGTATGGTGACATCTGACTGTTGTCAAAGTCGGGACACTACAGTCAGTTGAAATAGCCGTGAAAAAGAAGCCCATATCCTAGCATAGAAAGTGGTGTTTTTAAAACTTATAAACGCATTGAAAATAACCTCGTAAATACGGTTTTCTGTGTTCATAAAGATAATCACTAGAAACAGACAATGATTATTTCAGGAACAGAGTGAATGATGCCCGCTTCCTTTACTGGCTTAAAGAAGCTTGTCATTATTTTAGGAAGGGTGGGGTTCGTGTTATTTTGTATATATAGATAGATAGATAGATATATAGATAGATAGATAGATAGATAGATAGATAGATAGATAGATAGATAGATAGATAGATAGATAGATAGATAGATAGATAGATAGATAGATAGATAGATAGATAGATAGATATGATATATATGATATATCGTCACCGCACGCTGTAAAAATACTATCCATGTCTTTCACATGCAAATATGAAAAAATTTGGCAAGTTATACAATTGATTGCATTTGCACCCTAAAGAGAGGCTATTTACTTTAGAAGCATTTATTCATATAAAATGGACTTTTCCTATGACAAAAGGTAAATATTTTTGTAGGGAGAACTTGCCTAAAAGTTGTACCAGTAATAAAAAAAGCATTTTATGCGGTGATAACGACATGTAATACTCTCACTGTTTTTGTTTTTCTTAACTATCTTCTATTTGTTGATTTCATTAAAAGCTATCCAACAAACAGAACATCAAATGTCGGCTTGTGGATCGAATTTATTTTTGTGTGTTGATGGCGTCTCTCTTTCGTTCGTTTTCCCTATTGGTGGATAATTTCTTAAAACCCTCGAAGAGAAAATTCGTATCCGCACATGCGGCCATGTATTGTCCTTCATGCTAAATTGTTTCTTAACATTTCAAAGAATATTCCACAAATAGCGTTACTTTTAAAGGGAACAGTTACCAAGTATTTGTATTAGACTTGAGTTAACGCATGCTCTAATGCAATTACTCCCCAAAAGTTCCGTATTATTCTCCAGCGCCGTCTCCTAGGACTGGTACGTGTTCTTCGTGTCCTCTTGCTTCATGAACTATTTCATCCGCCTTTTTCAATAAAAAAATTATCGAAACAACCATTCCACAAAGTAGAACCACGTTCACCAACGCAATCATCCAAATGATGGGTAAGGATGAGTCAGGGTTCAGAGCTGCGTACCTTACGTTCATGAAAGAGAAATGAAGAGTCAGAAGAACCAAGGTCTCTGCTGTGTTTTCCAATGGAAACTTTTGGTAAGAGTCGTTAAACGGCCTGAAGAACAACTGAAAGCACAAAGCCACCAGCAAAACAAAGCAAACAGCTATCGTCTGAAACGACGATGCACGATTGATGAGAGACAACGCGAAAGCGATCAGCATCCGCCTCAGAAGAAAGATGATCTCAAAATAGGAACGGAATTCTTCCTTGTATGGCAAGTAGATAGAACCGAGCCAGCTGTCCAAAGATTCTTGGTCTTGCTGGGGCATTTCATGTCTTCTGGCCACCTTATTGAAGTGCAGGAGAGGAAGGAACAATCCAAAAGGCACACCGATCACATAAAGTGGCAGGGCAAGCCAGCCTAACACCTGTAAGATGGTGTAGTCATAACCTTCACATTCCATCCATGGGGCCTCCCTCAAGTAATGCTGGCCATTATCCTCACCACAATGTGTTAGGGTAGACGCTGTCTTTTTCACGATGGGAAAGTACGTAAAGTTAAGAGTCATGACCGAGAGTTGTAAACAGGTATTTCGAAGTCGAAATCGTCTTTCTTTTAAATCGGGATATTCAAAAATTTTAAAGACGAGGTAACCAAAGGTGAAGTAGAACCAGACAAGCAAGATGCAGATCAGAGGAAGAATTAAAAGAGATGCGAGCTCGCCGAGGGGTGTAAACAAGCTCGGAAACTCACAAGCCAGGCCAGAGAAACGAAAGTTGAAAACATTTCCAATGTATCTCTGCGTCTCCAAAACCTCAACCGGCCAAACGTCCGTGTTGGACAATAAGGCATCAAAAGTTTGGAAATAAAATACGCTTGTCTTCATGATTCCTCTTGCACCCTTTCCTCTTCCAGCTAAACCGATGAAAAGAGCAACAACGTTGAGTTCAAGGAACCAGGCTGGAATGATTTGAAGCATCGCCAAAACGGTTAAAATGATGATTTGAGAAAAGACAAAAATAACAGAAAGAAATCTCTTCTTCTTGTGAAAGAAAAACCCAAGAGTAATAAGTACGATGGAAAGAATCAGAAGTACGGCTATAATGTACACACTGGCTTTACTTTTATGACAGGCGTGGCAAAGTATTCCTTGTTTGTAATAACCATGTTCACAAAGGGAGCAAAACCTATCTCGACTACCTTTCTGACAAAGGCACGACTTGTTACAGGTAACGAATGGTCTATCAATTACTCCATTTGTCTCCTTAAGCCAATCAGGATCAATACCACACTCACAAGAGCCATTTGGATTGCATGATGTATGTACGTGGGGACTGGTGCCCAAAGCTTGCGAACATCTTACTAGGCGGGTCACGTTTTTATGAAGTGATGAAGGCCAATATCCCTCTTTAATGATCATCAACTGCGTAGGAAGCATTTGATCGTGACACACTCCCCCTTCCATACAAGGAAAACAGGTTCTTCCTGAGCCATAGTATCCAATATTACAAAGGCACAGACGGTAAAAATAGTAATTTGGGTCTAACACGACAAGTCCTTGGTTGTAACTGAGTCGAGCATTGGGACACCTGAATTTATCATCTGGATTTCTCTGCGTCAAAGTTTTAAAATCAACCGTCACGAAGTAGGGTAGAGCTCCTCTTTCCTCGTTGGATTCGTGCATGTTGGGATTTAGTGAGATGTCGAATACTTCCAGCGCTAAGAGTTTTGCAAATTCTTGAGGAATTTTTCCTGAAAAGTTGTTCGTAGATACGTCAAGACTGAGAAGAAGTAACATATTATCTGGGGAGGTGGAAGCTTTCCAAACAAGCTATTATTACTTACATCTACAGAAATTAAATTTTTAAAGTCCCACAGTTTTGCGGAGATTTCTCCGAGAAAATTGCAGTGACTGATGTTAAGAATACGCAACGATTGATTTATTGGTTCCATTGCTTCTAAAAGGGTATTAAACGTCATGGTAAGGTATTCATTATCAGCCAAATTAAGTACTTCTAAGGATTTTGACTTGAAAATAATTCCTTCTTGTAACCCCGATAACTGATTTCCACTTAAATCAGCAACTTGAAGCATGGGTATTGAGCCTAAGTTTTTTGGTATTTTTCCAGAAAAAGCGTTGTTCGCCAAGTTTAAATGCCATAAGTTTGTCATGTTACCCATTGTTGAAGGAATGCTTCCACTGAAATGATTGCCAGGCAAAAGACACTCAATCATAGCAGGAAAGTAAAGTCCAAAATCATCTGGTAAAGTCCCGTTTAGCCCGGCAAGAGACAGGTGCATATAACGTAGAGATGACAGATTATAAAGGTTTTCAAATCCTCCACTTAGAAATGACACACTTTCAAGGTCCAAAAACCAAAGCTTCTTCAATTTGGCAATGCTCTTCGGAATCATGCCATTCAATGTGTTTTCTCCGATACTGAGAACTTGCAGCTCACTCAAGTTCCCAATGTCCCTTGGAATTGTACTTGAGAGACCCTTTCCCAATTGGCAGCAGAGTTGAACTTTTACCAAAGATTCCATCTTTGGTAAGATTTCAGCGGGAATCTCACCAGACAACTTATTAAAAGCAAGATCAAGACGAAGCAAGGTGGTCATGTTGGTAGACAAAATTTCAAAAGGTTGCCTAAGAGCTTGTTGTTGTTACCTACACACAAACCCTGCAAATTACGAAGTTTCCACAAACTTCTTGGAAGAGCCCCAACCAAATTGTTTGTGGTCAAAGTGATACTGATAATGTAGCTATTGGTTTGATCACATGTGATTCCATACCAAAAGCAGTGCGGTACAGAGTTGTTCCCCCAGTGAGTACTTTTTCTCCAATTGTGACCATCTGTTTGGTCGAATATTTCCATGAGTACAGCTCTTTCTTGTTGGGGCGTGAAGGTTGTCTCCAAAGTACTATTTGGAATCGGGATATCGTGCAAGCATCCATAGGCAAAAGTATCATCGTAATTCAGAGGAGTCAGTTTCTCTGTTTTCAAAACTAACAGTGAAACAAAAAAGAGAAGCAGACAAATATAAGTGATTTCAGGTCAAAGTCCGCAAGGATTCTGCCTTTCTAACCCTAACCTCAAGGGTTTTTTCATGAAATTCATAATTGATTATTAACTCGTAAATCAAGATTTTTTGATCAAGAAAATTGACTATTTTAAATTAACCTAAATTGATCCATATTTCATAACTGATCATAATAAATCAAATATTTGAAAGGGAAAGAAGGATTCTGAAAGTACAACATGGTTTGAACCTGAACGAACGATTCAAATTCAATTACATCAGTTTTAATTTTCTGCCAAACAAATGTCACCCAGTTCAAGATCCATGATTTCACCTTCCGTCAAGCTGGTCTGAAAGTTTGAATCAGCCCCGCAGCCCGAAATTATAAACCTTTGGTTTTCTCATCATTAGTAGTAAACGAAAAAGTGTGTATCAAGTGTGGTAAAACACTTTTATGAGTCGACTAAGCTTACTGGCTCGCGCTTACCTCCGATGTCTCGTTTGTTCCGTCTTGTTCTGTAATAGAGTGACCATAGTTTGATAACTTTTCTCCGAACGTAAGAGATCGGTAATGTTCGAAGCAAGCAAGGAGCGCCACAATCCTTAACAATATGGCTAGAAAGGAGTATTTTGATGAAAGCGTTTGTGCCATAATTCTCCTTCTCCTGAAAGAAACTGAAATGGGGCTGGTGTTTGGGAGGTTTTACGCGACCGAAGGACAATGCGATCAGCGGTTTCAGCGGTTAATTTGAAAACAAGCAAAATGGCGGAAGGGCTTCCTTATTTCGATCAAAGGGAAAACGAAAGTGCGGAGAACAGGAAAGCTCCCATCTATGATCATCCAGTGTTCAGGGAAATATCACTGTCCAATGGAAAAATAAATAAGATGAAGAAGGATGAAGTCAAGAAGATACTTAAAGAGCGTGGGCTGGACACACGGTGAGTGAAATATCATCAGCTAAAAGTAAATAAACTCAGTTAAATTAAGGTGATGTTCTAAGCCTTGCCTGAGAATGGGGGGGGGGGGGGTGTTTGGAAGGTTTAAAAAGGCATTGAAACTTCGTTAAAGCTCTGCCTTGACAAATTGCTCAAAATTCAGAGACTAATATCTCGGCAGAGAGAGATGATTTACTTTTTCACACACTGCATGTATAATGAAATTCTCGATCGAAAATATATCGAAGATAAATATCCTTCCTTTAGAGTAAGACCTGCAATCATGAGCTTCTACATGTGGATGCTCTAAGCTGATTCCTTCATCAGCCAAGAAGATCTTTAATTACATTTTTTTTAATCTAACAATTCATTTGCTTTGCAGAGGAGTAAAGGAGGTTCTCCAAAAGCGTCTAAAAAATCACATCAAAAAAGAGAAACTAGCTCAAGCTAAGCTGGAACAAAAAAAGATAATGAACGAGGTTCATTTCTACTGTGTCATAGATTTTGAAGGAACTTGCGAAGAGAATAATCCAGACGACTACATCCATGAGATAATCGAGTTCCCTGCAGTGCTTCTCAATGCAGTTACACTAGAAAAGGTTTGTAAGCTTTGAGAGAACATTTATTTGCTAACTCTCCTTGATTTAAGGAGGTGTTACAACTATATTGTTCACTATTTTAACCCCTGAACTCCCACATCAAATTTGTCATTCTCCTTACTGTAATAACCATACAATTCTTATAATGTTAGTTCAGAGAATTTAGTATTGTATCAATTAATTATCCCCAAATTGATGTTTTTTCTTTATTCTCATCACTTATCTGGTTGATATTGTATAGATATTGTAAGGAGAAATTCTGTCTTGGTCACTCATGGGAGCTAAAGGATTAAAGTAACATATATAATAATTGAAAAGTAATGTTTCCAATTTGTCTAGGTAATAACATGCTGTCTTTGTTAAAGTCACTCAAACTGGGAAAATTAAAGAGACCATCAATATCTCAAATGATTAACTTTTCCACTTACTGCATTGTAACACCTCCTTGATTTTCATAATAAATTTGAAAAGTTAACCATAAATTCTTACAATTTAGTTCAGTTTGTCTCCAGGTTATCCTCAAAGATTTTTGTATTGATAATGTAAGGAGAAATTCTGTCTTGGTCACTCATGGGAGTTAAAGGATTAAAGTAACATATAATAATTGAAAAGTAATGTTTCCAGTTTGTCTAGGTTATAACATGATTTTGAGTGCAATTTGGTGATGATAAGCTCAAGTAAATTTTTCAAAGACTAAAAAAAGTTGAAGCTCTCAGGTGAAGTGCACTTTATACCCTAAATGAAAACATCAAATTGCAAGAGAAATCATGTTATCACTTGTGTTAATAATTTACATGAAAAAACATCACAGAAAAGCAAGACAGAGAAAATTTTGAAAGTGTGTGCATTATTTGTAATTTGCACTTGTGTTACAAGGCTGAAAATCAACTGAATCCTTGTTAGAATGGTTCAAATAATCTGATTGGTTGTATAAGACTAAAGCTATCAAAAATGTCAAACCATCAAAGTTCACATTCTGCAATAGGTTGAATTTAACACTTTTGCTTGAAGTTTTTTAGTCTCTAAGTGAAATTCACATAACAAGTAGAGAACAAGCCATTCAACATGATTGTGTTACGAATTAACAACAACCGAATTCTCCAGAACATAAAGATCACTCGGGACGACAGTTGCAGTGACTGATGTGGCCTTCCACACAATGCATTGGAAAGGATGTCAGAGCATATTCAAGTCATGTGAACCCTTCTGATGTTAACTCACCCAAATTTGATTTTTTAGGCTTATGACTGATTAGTGTTTTAACTAACCCTCACAACTGATATCTGAAATAGCACTTTAACATACTATGTTAGCTATTGTTTGTATTCAGGACTGATCATACACCAATATTTCACATATTTCTTCAGGTGTCTGAATTTCATGAGTACTGCAAACCACAAGATAAACCAGAACTATCACAGTTCTGCCAGAACCTAACAGGAGTTACCCAGGTAATAAAAGTTAAAATATGAACAACATTATTGTGCATGACTTTTGTCCATCAGTTATGGCTGGAATCTCTGTCACTGGAGTCTTTGTAAACAGTCATGTGCTTTTATCTGTGCTCATATTACAGTAAATGATTTTAACTCGGAGGTAACATGTAACAGTGTGGTTTGATTGTCTGGGTGAGTGTAGTCCTGAGAAGGACTGTTGTCGATAGTGGTGACTGATGTTTCAACAACCCAAGCGGAAGTCATCATCAGAGTCAAGTGAATAGTTGTTGCCAGTCTGCTTAGGTTGTTATTGCTTCTTACTTTTGATCTATTGGAGGACAAAGCCATAGATGATGTCACCATTGACAAGTTTTTGCTTCTTTATGACATAAAACAAATAGACTCCATATTGCCCAGGTCCTGTGTGGTGAGTGATATGAACATCAGTGACACACACAGCTGCACCTTGTGAGCCACTTTTTGGTTCATACCACATTTTCACATCATTTATGATCTACTTGTAATACTAAACAGAAGCACGGCAACATGGAATCTGCTTCTTAAATGGTCCATAAAGTATTTTGAGTCTAATATGAGTTTATAATTAGCAAAATATACTCTATACCACTAAAAACTGTTTTCCAAAGCATGTGATATTGACAAGTTTGTTTTTAGATTTGATAAAATATTAAACATTGAGAATTGTCTTAGGAATAAAAATCTGGTATGTATTGTCGAGAGTCCATTGCATTGATCAGCAGTTTATATCATCTCCTTGCTGATGGCGTGGGTTATCTTCAATGTATGCCTAAATGATTTTTTTCCAATGTACTTATTTTGTTTTGCTGGGTAGGAAATTGTGGATAATGCTGATACATTCTCAGGAGTCCTTGACAACTTTCATCAATGGCTTAGAGATCATAAACTTGGATCAGAATATAAATTTGCTGTTGTTACTGATGGGTGAGTTTGCTTCTCATACACATTTCTTGCACTTCCTTTACTGAGTTTCCAATAACTGAATCATTATCCCAGAGACAGGTACTCATACATACTATAGGGCAGAGAGAGACACCGTGAACGTGTCTCGCCCAGGCAGATATAGAGTTGTAAATTTGCAGGGCTTGCAGATGTTGGGCTTATCAGTGAAGGGATGAGTCGATGAGCGCTAACATTTGTGTCGTTAATATTATTCTACAGCTTCAATGAATGCCAAGCACAGTATGAAATGCACTTCTTTGGTTGCAAAACCTACCATATTTAGACGATAAACGCTTTCAAATGCTTCCTTTAATTACATAAGAATATTTTGTACTGTAAAGATGCATCGCTCAGGCGACCAACGACCCCACAGTTTTTAGCTCAAGGGAAGGGTGGGCTAAAGAGATGGTCCCAAAGCGAGAGGGCCTATTCGAGATGGGGGCTTAGAGAAGGGAAGGACTTCTGGGGAAGGGGCGTTTCCAGAGCTTCCATGATAATTCCTTTATATTTTTTTCCAATGTAGCCCTTATGATATGAAGCGTTTCTTCTCGGGGCAGTGCCAACTCTGTTCCATTCCCATACCCAAGTACGCCAGAAAGTGGATTAATTTGAGAAAATTGTACAGAAACTTTTACAAAGTACTAAATGGGACTCTTGAAGACATGGTCAATAATCTTGGTATGAAATTTGAAGGGCGGCCGCACTGTGGGATGGACGATGCGCGAAACATCGCAAGAATCTTACGAAAGATGGTCCAAGATGGCTGCGAAATAAAATTTAACGAAAGTCTGTATGGTAACACCTGACTTTTGTCAAAGTCGGGACACTGCGATCGGATGAAAAAGCCGTGAAAAAGAAGCCCATCTCCTAGCATAGAAAGTGTGATTTTAAAACTTATAAACGAATTGAAAAGAACCTCATAAATACGGTTTTCTGTGTTCGTAAAGAAAATCATTAGAAACAGACAATGATTATTTCAGGAACGGAGAGAATGATGCGCGCTTCCTCACTGGCTTAAATAAGCTTGTCATTATTTTAGGAAGGGTGGGATTCGTGTTATTTTGATTTTTTTTTTTTTTTCGATTCATCTATTATTAATAAAAGCCTTTCAAAACATAAGTAAAAGTATCTCAGATACAGTACAGGGTGTCGTTGAATGCTTCAACGACTTGCACACATGAGTACATCTTGATTGACTGTCTCGAAGCTAACACTGAAGTTGTAACAACTTCAAGTCAAATCAAGGAAGAATATCGCAAGGAGTCGACGAGAACTTAAAGTTACAGAAAGCCAACCGGTTCAAGCGCGGGAAAATGTGAATTACTGAGTCGAGGTTGGTTTTAGATTTTTAATTTGATTGCTCGAGAGGATGGCGCTAGTCTTGTGAACTAATCACAGAGTAAACTGAAACAAAACCCAAGCAATTCCGGATCACTTTCGACGCTAAATTGAAAATTAATCTTAAGTACATAATGGTATGTCTGCAACTTTACTTTGATAAACAGGCTGAATATTATTGTTAAGTGTCCCGCCGATCTCTTGCAATGGGAGTCAAAAGAGTTAGACCGAAGTTCCAAACACTGATACTAAACCGGCCATCTTCAAGTTGATCTGCGTTCTTCCTTTTTTCGTTCAATCGGAAGCTGTGAACCCCACGTGCATGCGTAGGCACAAACCTCGTCTGAATCGTTATCGATTTCTCAGAAGTTCATTGGTACTATTGCGCGTCATCTGAAAGCCTGGCGTTTAATTCGTGGTGACGGACTCCGGTGTTTCCTTTGCGCTGCGCGCGTGGCGAAACGAATAACAATACTGTTTAATGTTTGTTTTTTGTTCGTTTGTTTTTAATATTATTTCTGGGTAGTCAGAGAAGTTGTTTTAGCTTTTTTTGCACGTTTCAAGTTACTCTGCACTCGAATTATATTTTAGTTTCGCTGAAACACAACCAGATATACGTCTTCAGGGAAATCCGACTTGTAATTAGATGTAGCCAGTATCGACGTAGATCGTTAGATGCGACAGTGATGCTCAACCCTTGGTTCAAGCCCCGTTTTCGTTGGGCTGTCATAACTTCAATCATTGTTATCAATTTATATGTTTACTGTAAAGGATACAAGCCTCTGCAACCAAATGAATTTGATGGGGCAAAGTATATTTTTAATCGAGGTGACTCGTTTGGAGGAGAGGATAGCGACAGTAAAGGTGAGTTTGCTTGTTTGGTTTACATCAGTTGTGCTGTACTATTTTTGAATCATTGCCTTCAACCGCCTTGCTGGAATATACAGTTACACTAGATTCATTCTAGCCAAAATGGTTGGGTGCCTGCCTGAGTATTCTTTGTACGAAACCGAAAACCGCAGAGTAGCTGAATTCAATCACAGTTCATAACCTTACTGTATCTTAAGGCTAAAAAATGTCGACATCATTTGATTTACCTTCGTTTCTTTTGCTCTTGAAAATTTCTAGGTGAAATAACTTCTGAAAGATTGTCCTTCATGCGGAACATAAAATCTTTTCGCTTTATTAATTATTTTTTATCGGTTTCCGACAGTAGAAGCGAAAAGATCATGATTTTGAGAGCACGTCAGCGGACAGTTTTGATAAGCACATCTTAACTCTTCACAATTATAACGAATAGTTATACTTCTTGACAGTTGAGTATTTCGTTGCTTTTTGATATGATCTCATCACTCGATATGTTCCATTAGACGAATGCTTGGTTTCTGACCCACAAATACATTTACAATTAAAAAAAAAACATTTGATAAAGTTTATACGCGATCTTACAGAGAGGCTTTCACTTTTTAAGTAGTTTGCTTTTCAGATGGCCGCAGGTTTTTCAGTTCTTTTAACGACCGTTACGCATTTTCCTCTTGAAAATAAACATATTATACTTACCTTATTATTCTCCCTGAAAAACTGGCGTCTTAGAATTCCAAGGTGAACATTCGTCTACTACACAAACTGTTGCGTGTGCCTATTGACGTTTACTAGAATTTGATGGAAATTACAGTAGTCTGTTTCAAGACAAACCGCTTCATTTGACATCCTTAAAGTTGGTCACAAACCAAAACCCCTCAATATCTCCCTTCATTTGTTTTCAGTTGTGCCAGAAAAACATAGACCGACGCTTTTCGATAAGGCTTTTGCCTACAGATGTTCAAGTGAGATTTCAATGCTCAATGTCACATTAGACAGATCATTTTCACCCAAGCAAGAACGAAATGTGCTTATGGAGGTTTTCAATCAAACAGCTGGTCATAATTGGAGGAACAACACTCATTGGGGAAATGACTCTGTACCACACTGTTCTTGGCATGGAATAGAATGCCATAACACCAATAGCTCTGTCATAGGTATTACTTTGATAAACAACAACTTGGTTGGAACCCTTCCGAGAAGCCTGTGGAAGCTTCGCAATTTACAGATTTTGTGCATTGGCACTAATGCTAACTTATCAGGTAGTCTCGATGAAATTTTGTCTTCCAACATGACTACTTTACACACTCTTTACCTTGCCTTTAACAAGTTATCTGGTGGGATTCCTGGTGAAACTTTAGCAAAGATGAAGTCACTGAAAATAATCCAGCTTTGCTGTCAGTTGAGAAAGGGTTTTTATGGTGAAATTCCAAAAGACATTGGAAACTTAACGCAATTGCAAGTTCTCGGTTTCGGAGGAAGTAGATTGAAAGGTTCAATACCGAAGAGTATTTCGAAATTGAAAAAACTTTGGTTTTTGGATCTTAAAAGTGCAACATCCCTAAGTGGAGGCTTTGCAAACCTTGTCAATCTGTCATCTTTACAATACATGCACCTGTCAATGGCTGGATTAAATGGAACTTTGCCTGACGAATTTGGACTGTATTATCCTGCCATGGTTGAGTGTATCCTGTCAGGAAATCGTTTTACTGGAAGCATTCCGGCAACTCTGGGTAATATGACCCACCTCCAATATTTAAATTTGGCTAGAAACAGTTTTTCTGGAAAAATACCGGAAAGTATCGGCTCAGTTTCCTCTCCTCATATTATTGACTTAAGTGGAAATAATCTATCATCGTTTGAGGACGGGATCAAGTTTAATGATCTAGAGGTACTCCTCCTTGCTGGTAATAAGAATCTCACACATAGTTTTGATTCCTTGCTGGATGCAATGGAATCGACAAGAAAATCTCTTCGTATTCTTAACATTAGTGAGTGTAATTTTTATGGTATTATTACATCTAAATTATGGAAATTTGAGAATTTGATTTCTGTGGATTTAAGGAAGAACAATCTAACTGGAACGCTTCCGTGGGCTTTTCAAATCTTGTATTTCCTTCACGATCTTGATGTATCCACGAATAAACTTTCCGGGCAAATCCCTGGAAATTATGCAGACTTACCCTCCTTGAAAGTCCTAGACGTTTCAAAGAATCCTTCAATGCGTATGAACGAAGAACATGAAATCCTACCAAAGTATATGACAGCTGATTTTGCATCTTTAATCCTTTTTGACAAGTTCAAATGTCCAAATGCCCGTCTTAACAACAACACACGGGTGATTTTAGATCCCAGCTATTATTTTTACCGTCTTTGTTTCTGCGATAGAGGATATTATGGCTTCGGGAAAACCTGTCTGCCCTGCATGGAAGGTGGAACTTGTAATGTTGAGAAACGTCCTTCCCAGGATATGACAATCAAAAAAGGCTATTGGCCTTCATCACGTGATCAGAACGTGACTCATCTCGTTGACTGTTCACAAGCTTTAGGCACCAATCCTCAAGTGAGTACACCCTGCAATCCATTAGGCACTTGTCGCTGCTGGATTGACACAGACCACAGTCCCTCCACCGTTTGCAACAAATCGTGCTTCTGCCGCACAGGGAGTAAAGGTCGCTTTTGTTCACTTTGCGAACATGGTTATTACAAACAAGGAATCATTTGCTACGCTTGTCCCCAAGCGAATACCAGTGTTTACATTCCGGCTGCACTTGCTATCCTGACTATCATTTTGATGACTCTTGCCTTCTACCTTTACGAGAAAAAGCGCTTTTTCTCCACACTTTTAGTTTTTACTCAAATAATTATCTTAGCATTACTAGCCATTTTTCACATAATTCCTGCATGGCTACTTGAACTCAATGCAATAGCCCTCTTTATAGGTTTAGCCGAAAGAGGTAAGGCTGCGCGAGGAATTCTGAAGATCAGTGTGTATTATTTGCAAACCCTGGACGCTTTGATCTCCTGTAACAACTTCTGGCCTCCTCAGGTTCTTAAAATTCAGCGATACATCAGCTATGTGTTTAACTTTCATTTCTCTGGCCTGGTTTGTACGTTTCCTCACTTGTTCACTCCACTTGGTGAATTTGCAATTCTAATTCTACTTCCTGTTATTTGCATTCTGTGCATTTGGTTGTACTTTGCTCTTGTCTGCCTCGTTGGTGGTGTTCTTAACGTTTACAATCTGCAAGAAAGACGACTTCGACTGCGAAATACCTGTTTACAACTTTCCATTGTGTCTCTCAATTTGACATATTTTCCCATTGTAAAGAAAACCGCTTTAGTCTTGGCTCCGTGCGCAAAGGACAACAATTATTATTACCTGAGGGAGGCACCATGGATAGAGTGTGGAGGTCCTGTCCACACCATGCTACAGGTCCTTGGCTGGCTTTCGTTAGTTTTTTATGTGATCGGTGTGCCTTTTGGAGTGTTCCTTCCTCTTCTGCGACACAACAAGGTGGGCAGCAGACATGAGCTGCCTCAGCAAGACCAAGAAAGTTTGGACAGTTGGCTCGGTTCTATCTACTTGCCATACAAGAAAGATTTTCGTTCCTCGTTTGAGATCATCTTTCTTCTAAGGCGGATGCTGATCGCTTTCGCGTTGTCCCTCATCAATCGTGCATCGTCCTTTCAGACGATAGCTGTTTGCTTTGTTTTGCTGGTTGCCCTTTGCTTTCAGTTGCTCTTCAAACCATATATTGATTCTTACCAAAAGTTCCCGTTGGAAAACACAGCAGAGGCTTTGGTTCTTTTGACTCTTCATTTCTCTTTCATGAACGTAAGGTACGCAGCCCAAAACCCTGACTCATCCACGCCCATCGTTTGGATGGTCGTAGCGGTGAATGTGGTTCTTTTCTGTGGCATGGTGATATCAATGATTGTTCTTCTTGGCCGGCGATCGCATGTAGTGAGAAGTTCTACCATGGAGGTCCATTTAAGGGCGGTTGATGAAGATGACTCCACACTTCCTCCACCCGAATTCTCTTCATCGTGTCTTCTTGATGATGGAACTTATAATGACTGAACAACTTGGTTAATCCTTTAACTCCCAAGATCTGATTGCTATTTCTCCCCTCTAGTTACTAAACATTTCCTTGTAAATTAATCACGAGAATTTGGTGTTAGATCAGGATAACAATATCAACCTGATCATTTAGTATGTTCCCGTCACTTGTTTGCTGGATAATGCAAGGATTTTATTGATCGCATAAGAGAAGTTACATGTTAATCACTTCTGGGGGTTAAAGGGTTAAGAGACTGGTGTTTTTCCCCAGATCATTCAGATATTAAGCACATTTGAATGCTGAAGAGCAAAATATTTGAATCCATTCACATAGAGACTCTGAGTGACGAGGAAATGGCTAATACATGTCTAGTTGATGTATCTATATAAGAGGGAGATCATCGATCTATTGATAAGTTCAACGCTAAAACTCTTTAACGATAAACGAATTGTTTTTAGAGACTTGTAAAGATAACCGCACATGGGACGTTGGTTGCCCTATAATGAATCAGACTCTAAGTATCAAAACTAACAGCAGAAATAGTTGTATTATGTTTAAGGAAGCTATGGGTATGGAATGAGCCATGCGTACGAGTAAGCAGAGTACGAGATAAGTTAGTATCGTTTTCGAAAAGGTAGCAGCAACAACTTATAAACTTTGCAGAGGTAATCCTTCATTGGAACTTTTACCAACAAAAAATCTTACGATGAATAAGCAAATATCTCCAACTGTTTAAACATTCGCACATCCTACCGAATAGAACTTTGTGCAAATACAGCATACCTTATTCAAAGTGCGATCTTCACACGCCAAGTTTTTGTTAGGTACAATTGCTTACAGTTGTAACTGTTCAGTGTAAGAAAAAAAGTTTTCAACCGCAGGATTTTTGAAATATCGAATGATACAGGCGGCGACTAACTGTAAATGGAGCTTGCGAATAATAAAACGAGAGTCTTACTTAGAATTTCATTGCGATCTATAAAACAAAGATATTTTCATTACACATTAAAAAGTCTCTTGTATTATGAATTAAATGGTACTGAAAATAATTAACTTGACTCGATGTTTGCTTGACGTTCCACAGGCTTCAATCAGTAATAGGATAGTTTTTAAAAATTTTTCAATGATCAAATTGGTCACAAATCAGGGTTGTGTCCTCGTGTACCGGTACGCCAGGACAGCCCCCAAATCAGTGTTTAGTGCCGGCCTAAGAGTTCGCTGCAAGGCCCTTAGCCCAAAACCCGATCGGATAGAACCACAAATGTTAAAATAGTTTTTCTTTTTGTTTTATCATTAGTCACAGCATTACAAAAAGCCACTTGTAATATCATCGACTTTATTTAAATACAGCGACACTTCACTGTATTTCAACTGATAAGCGAGTGGTCCTCTATCCTCAAAGCTAATAATAAACTTAATATAGCAGATACAATTTGAAACGATTACAAGGATTAAAAAAAAACGTTAAAATGATAGCTAGGCTGTAAAATTAATACATTATGAAACAATAACTAGGACGAGAATTGAATGTTGGATTTGGCTTTAAATTTTTAACCTTTGGAAATTATTTGCTCCATCGTTAGAAGGCCGTTGTGCATTTAAACGCTGTATCAGCCTATTTTATCTTATCTCCTTCTGAACTACACTTACGAGGCATATTTTCTCAAAAATATATGGTTGACAGTGTCTCTCTGCGAATGGTAAAACTTCTATTTGAATTCAATAATCACGAGAATTTTTTTTCATGAAAGGACCCTGCACAAGTGTCAATAATCGCGGTTGGAATGAAAAGTGTTTGCAGAGTGAAACTCTAACGCATTTTCTGACCTATTGGCACTGTCGTTCTTAACACGCTCAATCAAATCGAAGTAAATCCCACCCACATAATTTTTATATTGTTATACCTTTTCTCCTGGTGTTTGCCCAGCGGGCAGATGTATTTTAGGAATGATATCCTTACAAACTTGCATTGAGTAACTCTCACTTACAAAAAGGCACGTAATTAACACTGTTTTTAAACTAGTTCACCATATTGTGTTACAATAAAGGTTGTTTTTTTATAGTTTATTTAGGCGTTTAATATTTGTGTACACTAAACCCAGGAATTGTCAGTTTACTCGCTCTGATTGGTTGATCAAGCTCAGGATACATTGCACCGTTTTTTTTAGCTCGTCTTTGAAAATAATTCTTTTCATTCTCGCCTAGCAATTATCATAATTGTTTCGCTACAAATTAACCATTTTGTAATCTCAGTGTCCCTCAACAGCCCAAAAAAATTACACACGCCCTTTTGTGGTTCGGTTGACAACTAACAGCAGATTGCAAAATAAGATTGATAGCACTTTTCCCCTCGGAATTTGTTCAGTGTGGTTGTATTTGATCAAGCAATGGTATAAAAGCTCCTGCAAGAGAAGCAATGAAGAGAACAGGGGTGATTCGTGCTCTTGTGTGTGTGTGGTACATAATTTGTCGTCATAAACTTGAACTTCTAAAAGTAGCTGAGGACGTTCTCATTAACAAAGAACGGGATGTTGCAGGTAGCGTTACTTTCTATACAGCTTTCAGTTTAAGCCTGTTGTGAGGTTCAATTTTGCACCGCTTCTCAACAGTATAAAATTTTGAATATTTATCTTCGACTTGAAATAGTTAAAACAGAGGCAATTTTTTACCTTGCCTCTAAACGTTTTGTCGAGTTTGCTCGTAAGTTCCCAATCGTTTCTTCTCTTTTTCAACGGAACAGAACACGCGGATCATTTTTTTGTGTGGTTTCATCCTGGCAACACTCGTGGAGCCTTCGTCGTCGGACATGTACCTGCATTTTCCACACGGATCGAACAATCGCTTGAACGGAAATCAAGACAATGTAAGGAACGCAAACCGATTGTTTGACTCACAGGTAAGACCCTAATGATTAAATCTCTTTGCGCTTATGTATTCGTATATTATTCGTTGGCTTTTCCTCTTCAAGAACCAAGTAGATTCTATTTAAGCCCATGATTGTTTTTTTAATATTATAATGATATGGAAACTTGCATGCTCAAATGGTCAACGTCGTATTTCATACCAAGCGAACGAACAACGAAAACGTTTTCTATGTCTCCTCCCATTCTTGGAGATTACCTTCCTATCATGATGCTGCATTGTACGTAGTTATGTAAGCTTCGGTCGCATGAACCAGAAGCTTAATTTAACAAAATATAATACCTAGAAAATGACTTTTTCAGAATAACGGTAAGGCTGGTTACAATGTTGGGGACAAACTTGCTAGTAACCCTGGAGACAACATTCAAGAGTTTAGGCAGCTGCCACAGGTAATTAGTAATAAGATATCTACTCCTGTATTTGCGCAATTCGAGGGGCAGGGCTGTGGTAAGTTTCTTTAACAGTATTTCTAATCCTCTCCTGTAGGGTTCGTAGCAGCGTTTGAGGGTTTTCCAATTTCACCCTCATTTTCTCTAGCTACTAGATATTATCAGTTTTGTTGATGAAGCAGGGTTATATATTTCCTTCGGACACCTTCAGCTGCGCCCCATCAAGAAAGGGGAAAGATACCTTTTCACCTCGACTATGCAGTATAAGAACGAATTATGCTTACGGGCTCAATTTGTTTTGGGAAGATGATACATAGAGAAAGAACAAAACAAACGAATCAAAATGAGCAAGGTTGTGTTCCTATTGGACCTCTTGCGAGATTGAGAACAATATCTCATGGTTTTCTGTTCCCAATTTAGTTCCTTGTTTTAGTCAAAATTTCAATTCAATGTTTTACTCTTTTCCAATTTTTGCGAATACTTATCGAACGTGTTTCATACCATGGACTAAACCCTAATCGAACCATTTACGGAAACAGCGACTTAGAATTATTAAACAATACTCAAAATTCTCTTTTGTTTTGGACATGATAAACGAATAGCTCCCACGTGGGAGACCACTGCTCTATGAAATTGCATTTCTTTGTGTTGTGTTCATTTGTTTTTATGTGTTTGTTCAATTTTATCTTTAACAATTTAACAGGAGTTTTACATGAGCGGATGTGACGCCAAGGCCAAAACTGAAGTAGAAATCATGTGGACAAATCAGCATGGGACTGGGCCCAAGACTGGCGACATAGTGGAATCACAAGCTATTTTACAGTACATGTGTCAGCCTTATCCCGAGGGAAAGATGGCAACCAACGATGTGAACAGAGAGTTTAAATACCATACGATTCGTAACGGCCAAAACCTGGCTACTCAGTCATTTTCAAATAATAATAGAGAGAACGCTTACATAAGAAAAGACCGCGGCTTGCACGAACCAGCCAATTACTACCAGGCTTACTTTCGTCGAGAGAGAAACAAAGGTGAGCAGGAGAAATGCGAGAATTGAACGTATTTGGTTCGTTCTATCTTGATCCTAAAAAGTAAATGAGTGAAGTTTTATATGGATTTCTCTCATGAAATTCTTCATGTCTAAAACTCTGAAGTTGCATATGGTGTTTCAATTGGCAACGAAAATCCACATTGTTTGACTGTTTCTTTCTTTTCGAAGTCAGTCCAGGCGTAGTTTTGATTTCTTGCAGTAGTTGCCATTTTATAGACTTGCAGCCAAATGTAAAACAGCATTCACAAAACAAATCTATCTTTAAAAAAATGAGATTTCTCAAGATCCGAATGTTTTCCTACCCAATCAAACTGCTTTTATAAGGATTTCCTCTGTTTTATGGAAAATAAGTGATGGAGTGAATTAAACGCTACAATTGTAAAATCAAAAAAAAGTAAGGCTGTTTTTTGCTCCTACTGCAGGTTTGTTCACTGCTGACCAACAACTTAAGGGCGTTCTGCCGATTTACACGAGGCAAAACCCTCAAGGAACAAGAAGGGGCTTGGAGGTCCCCGAAGAACGCGATTATTTTCCCTACTGGGGTCCCAGCCCTTGGAAGGACATTGCTATCATGGTCAGCGATAAAAAGACCGAGGAGCTCATGAAAAAATACGTGAACAGTCCTGAATATGGACAAAAATGTAAGTATAATATCTGATTACTGCTTTAATTGAGATGACAGCATCTCTAAGAAACTTAGGCTGTTCTCTCGGCTCTCTTTAGACTCCTCCAGAAAAGTAAGAAGGTGAGCTAATTTCACGAACCAAACTATCTCGAGTTTTTTCGAATTTTTAATTCATCGATATTTCAGATATGTGTATTATGCCAACAACACTGAAAGATAACCCTAACTGTCCACGAGACAACTCTAACAACCTCGCCAAGCAATGTGTTGCCAAGTACATCACTGAGGATGCTTGCGAAAAAGCTGGAGGGAAGTGGACCAAATTTATCACAAACTACATCGAGAAAACCTCTGGCGTGTTGAGCACTTGTCATAACATAGGAGACATGAAACTGAGCAGAGGGTTACCGTATGAACCACACAAGCTTTCACAAGGAGCGGATGGAAAGGAACAATTTGTTCTCCTTCACAAGACTCCTGATGTGATCTACGCCCCATCCACTGTCGTTAATCACAACGGGTTGAACATGGAAGGAAAGTTTTCGTCTTATAAGTGGAAAGTACCTTGTTTCGCAACAAATACCACTCAACGTTGTGTGCTGCGCATAAGGTTAGGGAAAATTATTTTGAAACGTTATTCTTTTATTACTGACGAAATAATACTCAGTACATCATTTCTATACTAATACCAGAAATACTTTTCAGTGTAAGAATACTCTAAAAAAAAATGCGACAGATTTTGACACCATAGTGCTTGCTATAACGATAAGTAAAATAAAGAAATGCTTTTTTTAAAGTGAAGAGTGTCAAATTGAGTTCAAACAGCAAGGGATACTCTCGATCTTCCTGATCTTAGGTCTGTGCAAAATTCTGATCCAAAAAGGTTGTATATGACATTGCTCCTCCACTAGTCGTCTCTGGCCTGCATGAACCTTAACAGCGGTTCTAACTGCGAAAATAGAACTGGCTAGGGTTTTCTCATCTTACTAGGTGTCTGCATTTATCTATGTCCGACGTTTGTCGCAAGTCCTTTCAAACGACTCGCGTTTAACTAATATTCAGCACATGGCCTTTGTCCATCTACTAGTGTAGTCCTCTCAGCTTAGGGCTTTCAGGGCTGTTTTACGGGATATGCTTAAGAATGAAGTCTTGTTTCTTACAGGTACAACATCACCACCGCTGACGCACCAAGGGAGTTCGATGCTAGCAATAACAAGAAGTAAGTTTCCTTACTCCTAATTGAACTTGCCCACTTTTCCCCTTTCTTTGAGGTGATGAACACGAACTGCGCCCCATCTTCTAACAAAACACGTCTATCCTGAACTCCACAGCGTTACAAATAACCCAAAGACAAAAGCCGTTGATGGAAAAACTCTTTTACAACTCGCCTTAAACACTGCGCAGCTTTCGCGAACTTTCCAGGATAGAAGTCACGTGATCCTCCTGAAGCCTCGAAGTTCTCTTCCAAAGGAACATCAGCATCGCCAAATTTACTACATCGGAGGAATGGGAAAGAGAGGGAACATCGTGCAGGCTTACCCTGCCATGGAATATCGCTTTACTCCTGAACGTATTACGGTAACAACAGAGGACATTGTGTGTTTCGTTTGGTCAGGTAAGTGAGAGACACTCTTGTTTTCGGGAAGGTCGATTTAGAATTGAATCTAAATGGCACAGAGGTTAATGAGGAAAGAAAGAACTTGAAGTGATTGTCTTCGTCTAATTAAGGAAAACACTGAAAAAGCACGTGTCGGAAAATTTTCAATGATGATTTTTTTGACGGTTTCAGATTCATTGTTTTGGCTGTAAACTAATTTTGATTTGGTCCTCTAATACCGGACAAACGCAGATTGGAATATCTTGTCTGTTGTGTAAGAATAAAGACTCTACCACCCAAGTTATCTGTTGTATTTTTCTTCAAAAGGCGCTCCATTCAAAAAGGATAACCTCCGTGTAACCTTTGTTATATCATTTTACAGTCTTCTTTTTACGAGGCGTTGATTTCCACCCTTCTAAATATTCTAATAATACTGAGCTTCATGAATTCATTACAATATTGAGATTTAAATAGCCATTAGCCAAATTTAGATTAGCAAACCAAGAAAAATTCTTAAACTAACGTGCTATTTTTTTTCTCTGTTTTAGGTTCAAACAACAACCAAAACAATGAAGGACAAGGAACAGCGCGTAAGAATTGCTACATCTATATATTAATGTTTTGAACTTAAAAACAGGATGATGAATGCACGACTTTTCAAATTATTCAGCTTAAAGCTTCTAACCAAATTTGACTTGACTAACACTGTAATTTTGACTTTTTAACTAAAACCTGTGGAAAAACTGTACTTCTTGACCTTTATTTTTACAAGTCAAGGGACCATCGAAGTTTACAACCCTTTCAAAACAAAATGTAGAGTACTTTGAAACCGTTTAATAAAACGTCTTCAATAATTTAATCGCATAAATTTTCTCTTTTATTTGTAGGTACTGATCGCACCAACGTGTGCTGGATGAAAGAAGGATGCCAATCCCTCAAACCAGAAGCGTGTTCCAGTCTGCCTCTTGAAGTAGTTGACCATATTGACAAGTTTGACGCCGATAAGTTAAATCTTCACCTGAACAAGGGCTGTTACGAACAGGCCAATTTGCAAGCTCAGCTAAACAACGCCCCAGCCTCCTGCAACCCCCCGTGCTTCCGCATTGCGAAGCCTGGGAACTACTGTTACATGGGCACGCGCAATAACAACTTCTCCAACCGACGTCACATGGGGCAGATCACTGTCACCGAGTCTGTGAAAAGTTGAATTTGCTACTAATTATCTGATTGAAAAACCGGCGATGTAGTTGTTATTCAATAAATGGAATGAAAAGAATCTGTGTAGAGTGCTTCTCTGCTTTCCAATTTCTTGACTTACAGCGGCAGATCTAGAAAAGGAAAGGCTATTTCAGTTTGTATCCATAAGTATGAGCATTGCTAGCCACAAGTGCTAAGAAACCAAACCTAATTTTCATTCGTTAAAACTTCCTCTGCCTTTTCTTAAGGCTTGCCTTTTTTCTCTTGCTGCATATGGTTCCACTGACATCCCTGTTCCTGCAAATTTCTCAACTCTTTTTTATTACATGTAAATTCTCCAAAAGTTATGTTTTCAACGAGAGAAGTTATTTGATACCTCTCTTCAGTCTTGTATCCAAACCAAACGATTGGAGTAGATGTCTTCTCCCTCGTTCTCTAAAAGAATGCAGCAGGCGGAAAAACTCTTAATGATTGAACTCATACTGCATTTTGTTTGTTTGGGGGAATTAAATGATAGGAAGGCTTATATGAAACTGAAAAGCTACTGGGGGACAAAATGTGATTCTTTGTTTTTCCTTTAAATATCTGCCTAGATCTGACTCGCGACAAAACCAGTTGAAACGAAATGACGGAATACAGGCTTGCATCTTACTTACTCAAATGCTATGAATTGTAATGAAAACACTACTTAACAATTAGATTATGAACTCGAGATTTCTATCGCGTTTACTCAACTGTCACGCAAAGAAATAGAAAGAGAGCAATCTACTTAGTGTAGTAAAGATGGTATCAAATCCTTTAACTCCCATAAACGACAGATATGTTATTTCTCCTTACCCTGAATACCAATACAATGTCTTGCAGAAGGGTGACATGAGGATAAAAATATTAACTGAGGACTTTCGGTTCGGTACGACACCAAACTATCAGGGCTAATACTATAAACAGTGTCTGATTAATGGCGGGGGAGAGGGGATGGATTTTATTCTTGGGATAGAAAAGATTACACGGTTATAAAATCTAAACAAAAAAGACAATCGCGTCGTGAGACGCCTCAAAATGGCTGACCTGAGACATCACGTGTTGCATATATTTCCTCTTCGTTAGACTTGAGGTGAAAAATCGCTAACACTCTTTGCACACATTGTAAAAGGAGCCTTGAAATTTTACGTTTTCGTTAACGCTGAAAAAATTGTTCCTTCATCCGTATTCTCTGGTCAAATATCACAATGTGGCCTTTCTCTGTAGATCTTTAATCGGCCCTTTCGAACAAGTCGGCGAGTTTTTAGAAAGACTCTACTGCAGGTGCTTAACCGAGGCCTTCCAGAATGATTATTTTGCACGATGTGAGGAAAACAGGTCTGTCACTGAAATTGACTAAATTTAAACTGACTATTTTATCACCTTCACATCATCATCATCATCTAGATACAGTCCTCGCATCCACAACATCCACAACATCTCACGCCTACACTCCTGCGGGTAAATTCACATAGAGACAACTTTATTGATGATTAAAATTGATCGAGTATTCGAGTAGGTCTACGTGGCTCACGTGGAATAACGCTGCCATTGAACTGGGGGGATAACTTGGTGGCAACCGTTCGGTGTTCAATTGCCTGTTTCCTCCTCCTTTTTTTTTTTTTTTTTTTTAAGCTACCTTTGCTGAAATTTCTTGTTTCATTATATGTCCTCTGGTGACAAATCGGTTGATATCTAGAACTATTCTTTTTATTTTTGGTTCATTCAGTTGTATATTCATGCTGCAACCATGCCTAGAATATAAATAAAGAAAGTTTCGATACAAGTGTCTGCCATTCATGACTTCTTTGTGTTCGTTCTCCTAACATATCGGCACCATATCAGCAAAGAATATCATCCCAACTGCGTCGAATTTGTGGGGAAAAAAAATCGATTACAGAATATCCTCATTCCAAACTGATCTTTAGTCAGGTCTACAAACACAAAAGGAAGTCAAAATGCCAGAAAACTTTACAATATGTATTCTAAAAGTAAAGCTAACATACCAGCAAATGTCTTTGTGGCTTGATTGGATAGACATGTACCTCTCAGCGTTAAGATCCTGAGTTCGAGTCCAAGGAGATTAAGTAAGCTGCTTTTTTCTTTTTTTTTATTGTTTTTCTATCCTCAATATGTTGCAACTGAAATCACCTTTGACTGCACGAGGTTTCATATTTGCTTTTATACTTTACATTCTTTTTGTATATATTCCTTTCTGTTTTATTTTGTTGAAGTCATTGACATTTACGCGGCCGTATCTCTCCCATAAAATAATCACACACAGGGACTATTTTATTCCAGGCCCAACACCATTCTTCAAGTAAAAACTTGTAATTGACTACCTCTAAAGGCGCGGGAATTAATTATGTGACGTAAATTTCAGTGATTGGCTGTTGCTGCTGAACCACAAATATGCAAATTCAAAAAGTCACACCAAACCATGCTAGTCGTCCATGTGTGAGGACAAGTGCTCCCGCTGCTGAAGACTTGGATGTACTCTTTGACGAGAAGATGAATTTATGGACTGAAACTTGAAGCTATGAGCTAATACTGAAGGTAAGCATCGTTTAAGATAAATGTGACCTTTATTTTGTTCAGAACGGGAATAAGGCAAAGATTGGGTCGATTTAGAATTAATGTGTGTTCATTCCAAGCTTTTGCCGGTTGATTGTCAAACAAAATTAACTTCAGAAGCTTAGCCTTGAGAATACACTTGTTAGGCAAAATAATCTCCATTGAATGTTACACTTGTGTCGAAAAACGTAGTAGCAAAATATTCTAAACTCAGTTCGCAACGTAAAAACGAACACGTGGCACCAACTTTCTTAGTCAGATTCCATAAATTGTATTACACTGCAATTCTTTTACGTTCCTTAACAACATCACTTATTGTTTTAAAACTTACCATAGCAATTGCTACACTGCCAAGAGTAGAATTATAAACTCTGGCTATTGAGACAATATTCGTTTGAGTCCAGTCTTCGTTACGCAGCGTGAACCAAAGGGCGTCACTGAAAGAACGCTTGTTATACAGAATGTAATCCTAATGTTTACTCCTGGTTGGGCTTTGAAATCTATTCAATTACTGATCTTTAGATTTTTCTTCTCCATTTGTAGGAAAGTTACCCTTGCGAAGAGAAAGGATGGACAAGACAATATGGTCAGGAGAGGAAACTGGAATCAGCGAAGAATGAAATCATTGGTCGCCAAAGATAAGAACTTTGATCTCTTTATAACAAAAAATGCTGGCTGTAAAAGGACCAAAATTCCAACGGGATCTTTAATAGTTTGGCTTGATTTATTCAGATCGTTTCTTTTTGTTGAGTTTTCACCGAAAAAAAAGAAATTGGATCATTGGCACGAATTTTTCAAAACATTTGATGACAGCCAGCATTTTTAAGACTAGCCCACAAACATTACAGACGACTTGTAAGTAGGATTGTAGACGCTGAGCGATCGATTATTAAGTCCGTGTATTTGAGTAGATTAAGGCAAATTCGGAGCTATTATATTTGACAATTAAACCTCGTAACAGCATTGTAAAAACTCGGGCGGGAGGCATTTTCTTTCCTTGATCGCTCGCCGTCTCAGTACACACACGGGTAAAGTTTCCGCACAGCCCCATACTATTGTAAAACAAATCTGTTTTCCCAACGGAAATGTATTGTTTTTGTCATTGTTTTCTCTGTTCAAGAACTGAATGCATAATGTAGGATGGGGCTGTGCGGAAATTTTACCCACACACGTTTTGTCACAACACCTCACCACTTCAATAAAGAGGGAGAAGACATTTTTAAGGTGGCACTGTGAGATAATCTGAAATTCGAGAGGACAGAGCAAAAAGCTCGTTCCATTTTAAGCGAAAGACTCGTGCTGTTTTTTAAAATTTAATCAGGATTTTCTCGTAAAATCGTCTTATATGCCCTAGATTTATGTGGCATAGCTTTAGAAGCCAAAGGTTTTTCCAATAGTTTATATCGTTGAGATAGAATCATTTCAAGTCAATTGTAAAGGTTAATGCGTTATCATTGTCTCCAAAACAAAGATACTGATAAAACTGAAAACAAAGAGTCTGACTCCCCGGAGACAATAAGCAAGCAAATTCATGAAATCTTTTCGCCCGAAAAACTGAAAAGGTTTATCTTCACGACACGAAAGAATAAATAAAATGTATTCTCCAGATAAAGAATTTGGAAAACATATTTTAAAACTGTGCTGTATTTAGTTGATGAAATTTATCAACTGAAGTTTTGAATTTATCTTAAAGAACAAAAATCAGAATTTGGCGCTCTTCACGGCTGAGGAGATTTGACCTGTAGTCTAGTGCTTGAAATTAAATCTAGATATATTAAAAATTTTGAAGAACACGATGATCACATCAGTCTGAGGAAATTTCTCTTTAGAATTTTTAGGTTTAGGATTTATTATGAGTATAATTTTTCCTTTGACGGAGAAGTAACTTAAATTTTTAATCTTAGAGTTGGAATTTCTTTTTGAATTTGAGAAAATCACAATTAGGATCAAAGTATTACGATATTTACGGTTGGAAGAAAAAATTTAATTAATGATACATTCAGCTAACTTTGCATCTGAAAATTTAGAGAAATCAAGAAACTTCAAGCTACATAGGCTGAGGAAATTTGTCTTTTGCAGTATGTTAAGAATTTCATTAGCCCTCTGGAAATCTAAAAAATCTAATGCAGAGAATTTTTGAGCTGTTTTAAATATCAGGTTAATTATCGTTTATTCGTTTGTTTGGAAGACATTTTTTTTTTAGTAATAAAATTCCAAAATGTACGTGTAGTTGTAACTTCTTTCAAATGACATCAAAAAAGAATCAATGTTTTTAATATCAAGATACTTTTCCGCCTATTACTCGAGGATGAATTTCTTCTTACTTTCATTAAAATCGTTTGAAACAATTTCATAAGTCTGATACCCATTTATCAGAGATCTTCACACGGAAATTTCGCAGTATTTACGATTTAC